ATATGCGCATTGCTTCAATTCACGACTGAACATTTTTGCACAAACTAATTTTCCCGAGTTTTTAGCCAGTGGTCACTCAAGCGTAGAATATCGACAATATTTATTGATTCCATCTGATTGCATAGATCCTCACCTTTAATTTCATAAGAAAAAAATCATGTGGATATCGTGAAATCAAAACTTTTGGGGTATATATTCAAAGTATGTATACGCACTTTACATTGCAATGTGTCTTCTTTCTCTTGAGTATGTTCAAGAGATACCATTTTATATTCAATCGACACACATTCTTATGTATGCAATGTATCATGTATATCAATGCTCACTACCCCCCTCCCCACTGAGCGAATTTTCAAATTTTCGGGAGCAATTAAAAAAAAAAAAATAGTGCTTCTTCCCCCCCCCCCCCCCCCCCCTCCCCCGCTTATTCACCGGCTGGCTGTTTCGCCGCTAAATATTCTCTCACGAATTGGGCACCATCTTTGGCACCCTCCCTTGCCGCCGGCTGGATCCGCCCCTGGCATGCGTAGCATGGAAACCACATAAGTACTCTTTTGAAAGTGATATTGACCCGGCAAGAGATAGCCAAATGTTATTGAAATTTGTGTTTGTTTAACATTTCCTGGGACAGGGAGAGGTTACCGGTGGTTACCAGGTTGTCTCAATGTTCATGAAAATAGTTTAGTTTATTCGCCTACAAAAGAACTTAACAAAACAAAACGCCCGAGAAAAAACAAGGGAACTCAAAACAGCAGATGTTTCCACTTCTAGATTCACACGCCCATTGATTTTAATCATGTCCCAATGCACCAGGTTTAAAATAAACACACATTTACAACGACAAATTTCATGGATGTATACCGACTGATAATGCCAACATAATATGCCAATGGTCAACAACACTGGTATGAGGTGGCGGAATCGCAATGGATAATCAATATAGCACTCACTCTTTTGAGGAAAAGAAGTTTGGGAATTTGAAGGAAGGAGAAAACTGGAAAGAAATCGGAAAGGAAATTGAAATAAATCTTTCTAGGCTCCCCCCTCATCCTACACCCCTCACCCCTGTGTGAGTCCTCGGGGTTGGAAGAATTCACAAACACATATTCTCCTGAATTGTTCCCACGACCTCCTCCTACCCCTTCGGATCCGCCCTTGATTATACATATTCAAATCTACAATTTTATTGATTATAATCCAAACGAGAAGGATAATTTTCATTTTTTTAATTTAAAAAAGGGTAGCAAAAATAAAGATTACAGTGTAACAAAGATAATTGGTTCTAGGACATTTACCCCCTGGGCAATCAACCTGGAAAACTACCCCCTGGAAACTACCCCCAAGGACAATTACCCCGGAAAATTATCCCCCGGAAAATCCCCCCCCCCGGAAAAATTACCCTCCGAGGACAATTACTCCTGGAAAATCTGCTTTTATTAAAACCAACTTATTCTCAGGGTTGGACTTCCCCTTTAGCGAACGGGGCGTGGGCTATAAAAGTATAACAACTTTAAATATATTTTTGCACTTATAATTGAATTAAAAATATGTTTATGGCTACAATTTTGATGGATGATTTCTTCCCTTTCTTTGTTGTTATTAGATTTACTAGAATGGAGACTATTCATCGGATCATTGTCGTTTGCATAGCACTGTTTTGTGGGGTAGTTACCGGAGTGTTGATTGGGCGGTTCTCGGGTCCCGAACGAGTGCCGGATGTTTACGAGAATGCCCGACGTGAAGCCGATTCTCGGATATCGAGCAAGTTGATTAATGAAATGAAGGCGGAAAATGTTCGAGAGTTTTTGTGGTAAGAAGAAAATAGTATGAGGAGTCAATATGTAGATTATGAGATTAATTGTAAAGTACTAGTAGTAACAGGAGTATTAGTAGTAGTAGTGGTAGCAGAAGTAGTAGAAGCAGTAGTAGTAGTAGTAGTAGTATAGTAGTTGAACTCATTCTCTTTCATTCTCTCTTTCTCCCTTCTCTCTCTCTATCCTCGCTTATCCTTTGCTCCATCCCTCTCTTTCCCCCTCTATCTTTTCCTCCCTCCACCCCTTTCCCTTTCTTTCGCTTTCCTCCCTCATTACTCTTCCCCTCTCAATCTTTTCTTTCTCTCTCTCCTCACTACATTCCCCTCCCCCATTTTGCACGTACTCTTTTCACAATCTCTTTCTTTATTTCTGTCCGTCTATCTCTTTCCTTCTTTCTTTCCCTCATTCTCTCTTTCTTTCTCTCTCCCTCTTTATTACTTTCGTTCTTTCTTTCTTTTCAGGGAACTTACTCAGAACCCCCATGTAGCAGGAACAGAACAGAACAAAGAGCTTGCCGACCAGATTCACAGGAACTGGACCGAGTATGGTTTCCAGTCCACCATGTATCCCTACAAAGTCCTTCTCTCATTCCCTTCAAAAGTGGAAGGAGAAGAAAACAAGGTAGAGCTTCTGTTTAAAAATAAACGGGAGGTGCGATGGCTCAGTGGTCTCGTAACCGGGAGGTCCCAGGTCCGAAACCAAGTCAATGCGCTCGTGCTCTTTGCTAAGGCATTAATCCTGATTACCAAGTCCCAAAGCCGTTGGTTCCCTGGATGTTTATTTACAAGCATATACATGCTTTCTTAGCAGTCAGGTAAAACAACCATTGATCATCGTCACATGGCATCGATATGTGGATGTGTGAACAGTGCTGGATCGAATCCCTTCTACAGCACTAACATCCTTACGCAAGGCATAAATCTTTGTCATTCTCAACCTGGGAAGAAATTCTTTGATCAACTTTTAAAAGAACCCTTCCCTAATGCCTTATTACGGTGGCTCAGTCAAAAAGTCGGGATAATAGTACTATTTTACGATATTTTGTATTACGGGCATTGTATTTGTATAGCAGCTGCGCTATATAGATATACTCTACTGCTCGTAAAACTATTTTATTGTTATTATATGACTCTTTTAAATTTCTGACTTGAGTTGACCTGATAAAAAAGCCACCGGAAACTTGTGTTATCATTATAAACATCAGCACAGCTCGCGTTTGAAAAGATATGAAGACGAATCCGCAATAGTTGACGGAATTGGCTAACTTCTGAGCAACAAAATTTTTTGGACCGACACCACCCAATCAAAAAAGAAAGAAAGAAAGGTGTAGCTAGGAGCGGGACTACAGAGTTATATTTTAGAGCACCTCTTTTAAATGTCTCTAATAAGCAAATAAAAAAGCATTCCCATATATTTGTTAGCATTGTATGTGTACGAATTCGCATACAAGCAGAAAATAATAGTAATGAGAAGGAAAAAAAAGGATATTAACCGCCCTGCCCCCACCACGCCTATAGCCCCCCCCCCCCCCCGTTGGCCATGTTGGTTGCATCCGTACATTGACTTCATTACCTTACCTTACACAACGGAACGTGGGGGCATTTTGGCAGGTTCAAAGACAGGCCACCTTTACACATAGGAAACCATTATGAAATCCTCTTTTCCTGATCTTACCTAATAACGTTTTTATAAGTTGATAACAAATTAACCAACGTTTTCCTCCTTAAAAAGAAGGGACAATAGAAGACATGAGGGAAGAGAAGAGAAAGAATAACTGCTTTATCATAACATTGTTCTATTTAACCCAAACAAAATGTGTCTTTAAGATACTCTTGAAATTGTCTACTGTATCAACCTGCTACACATGATTATAGGTAATTTATTTCTATTATTATTAATTCCTTTGTCAATGCCCGAAAATGCTTACGCAGTCATTATTGTTAAAACAGCTGAATGTTCTCATTAAGATGCACATAATCAGAAGGCGGTGACTATCATTGGATCAAAGAAAGAATCACATTGAATGTCCATTCGTAATAGGTCCATGATTAAACTTAGGTGGAGATATTGAATCCTGATGGTACGGTTAACTTCACGTCTCAACTGAAAGAAAAGCCACTGGATGATCTGTCCAAGGAAAAAGAAGACTTGATACTTCCACCATTTAACGCCTACTCAGCACAGGGAGTAATCACAGTGAGTAAAGATAATTTTTCGAGGGGGGGGGGATTTTTTATTTGAATTTTGTAAAACATTTTTTTAGTATTTAAGTGTTAGCTTTCCATTTATCAGCTCCTTCAAATATTATTAGGAAGAAGGAGGGGGTGGGGGAGGGGGGGGGGGGTGGAAGGCAGCGGCAAAATGGCTACGTCACCATGAAAATGGCTTTTTGAGGACTACAAATAATACAAATCCGGATAGCAACTCGTCTAAAATTATTTATATATTTAATTGTTTATTTATCTATTCATCTTTTCATATCTGTATCTATTTGTTTACGTATTTATTTATTTATTAATTTACTTATTTCCAACAGAGTTGCCAAATTTGTTAAAAATACCCCCCCCCCCCCAAAAAAAAAAAAAAAAAAAAAAAAAAAAAAAACACTATATTTATGGTGTACATTGAGATATAGGCAGTAAGTGCGGAGCAATAGTGCCGAGGACTGGTATTCTGAATACCTAATCAAGTCTTCTGTCATTTTAAACTGTCCTTCTTTGCCTATAGAATGACCTGGTCTACGTAAACTACGCAAGGTTGGAAGACTTTCAGTTTCTCGAGGAAAACGGCATAAACCTCACCGGGAAAATAGCTATCGCACGATATGGCGCTATATTCCGCGGGGATAAGGTGAGAATAATCATAATGTGTAGTATAAATACTATTTATTTGTTATACATTTTATCCATAAAGCAACTCAAGAATACATTTCGAGCCCACCGCAAATGCACTCGCGCTGCACTTACACTGCACCATCCTGAAATCTTTTCTTCAAATTTCTTAGTTCTATGTCGCCTTTACTACCTAAACGAAGTATTTCCTTTATGTGTTTTAAAGTAAACTGTTAATGTCTGAAAATGTGTGTTTATATATTTTCTGTAATATTTATATAATATCAGATGGCTTGAGTGTGATACCAAAACATATTGCTCGAGCTATGACACTATTTGACATATTTGTGTTAATGATGTTTGAAGCGAGTGATGCTAAACTATACACTTACCAGCCGATCTTTGCCCAGTTCATTAGAGACATGAATGATCTTTCAACAGATGGAATTGATGTGGCTACTGATTATTTTCAAGGCAATATTAAAGTAGCAATTGGTCAAGTTGTGGGCGACAACCTTGGTATTCATTCATTGTTTGGTTTTAGCGAAGGATTTACTGCTAATTTTCCGTGCCGAACATGTAAGATCCATCGCAGAAATATACCAGTGGAACTAACAGAAAACCGAGAATTGCTGCGCACTGTTGAGAACTATGAACATGATCTGGAGATCAACAACCTACAGCAAACTGGTGTAAAATCGCCTTGTCCATTAAATGGAATAAACGGCTTTCATATCATGGATAATAGGGCACCCGACATTATGCATGACATACTCGAAGGGATCTGCCCTCTCGAGGTGAAATTAGTTCTACATCAGCTGATTGTTAAGCGTTATTTTTCTATTGATACATTGAATGCCAGGATCACAAGCTTTAACTATGGGTTACCCGATGCAAAGAACAGGCCCTGCAATATTTGTTGGAGTACTCTTCAAAGTCGTGACGGGGTGATCAAACAGAAGGCAGGTGCAATGTGGTGCCTTGTAAGACACATGCCATTGATGCTTGGCGATTTGGTGCCAGAGAATGATGAGCATTGGGAGTTGATCCTTGCTTTGTTAACATGTATGGATATTATTTTTGCTCCAACAGTCAGCAAAGGTGATACAATATTTTTGACGCAGCTCGTAAGAGATCATCACTCGCTCTTTCTCGAGTTATTTCCTGATCAGAACTTGAAGCCTAAACATCATTACTTGACGCACTATGCTTCTGCCATACAGTTTGTTGGTCCACTAATTCACCTATGGGTGATGCGATTTGAAGGTTTCCACAACTTTTCAAAGCGACTAGGTCACATTGTTTGTAATTTTCAAAACATTTCCAAGACACTTGCATTCAGGAACGCTATGCACTTGTGCTATAATATAATGGCAAACAAAACACTGTGTGAAAAGGCTTGTGAAATTGGACCTGGAGAGTCGGTAATACTAGCATCACTAAATGGAGCGGAACAATTAGCCCAAAGCACCGGCATTCCATTGTACAACGATGTATTCTTAGCCAAATGGGTCAATGTCCATGGAGCTGAGTATAGACAGCATGTGATGGTGGCTGTGAAGAAGAGTGATGATGGTGATCTCATCTTCGGAAAAATCATGCATATTGTTGCAATTGACCATGTCCAGCGCAATCATGCATCCGTAAGACTGATATGTGAACTTTGGAACACCATTGGCTATGAAAGACATTACCACGCATATATTGTGAAACCATTGAGACCAGTATGTCTTGCTATATGTACTGTGGATGACTTACTCGACTTTCATCCTCTGCATGTGAACAAAAGCTTCAAGAAAGATGATGGCAGATACTATATCAATGTCAGGCATATCATAGGATAGATTGTCAATTGGATTAGTCATGATGAGGTTAGTAAACTCAAAAGTCTTGAGGCTTAAAGTTCTGGAGCTGAAATGTTTAGAACTATTTGGACTTGGATACAAAAATATAATTTTGTAGTATTTCTAGCTAATATGTCCTTATAAAAGTATTAAAGGTTTCAAATCTATGGAAATTTCATTTTAGCCAAATTTCAGTTGTTTTACACTGTATTCTTAAACACTTGAGACTGTTCCTGCATTCCTATAATTGGTTTCTAGCCGTGTAACATGTGACAATAAAACACAGCTACTGCGTGCACGTCGGGCGCTACTATGTGTACGCGCAGCTTGATTAATCAATTCTCATACCATGGTTGATGCTTTTAAAAGTGTAGATTTTATTGAATAAGCCCCCCCCCCCCCCCCCCCCCAAGAAAAAATAAAAGTCCTATGCCTTTTTTATAATTTTCTTTCCTTTTTATTTGGTTAAAAAAATCATTGTGCTAGATGTGAGATTTTTAATTTTTAATCTTTAATTGCACTTTTGGCCCACCTTTTTTGCAAAATGTTGAATATTTTTCTGACAACTAAAACAAAAAGCTCAAAATAAGCTAAGCGTGTAGAGCTATGCAGTAAATCCGGTTTTACCTAGCTATGCGCGCGGGGTTCTGAGACGAACCTTCTTTTTTTTGTTGCCTAAAACTCAGTTTATTTACATTTAATGTCGTTTAAAAATTAAAATAAAGGTATTGTTCTTATATAGCTTCAGTCGTGTATATATTGTTTCATATATGATGTGCGATTCCATTATTTTTAGCGTAGAACCAATCGCCTGTGTAATATGAGACGATAGATGCACGGCTGAGGCTAAAGCAATACCTTTATTCTCTAGGTCCAAAATAAAGTGTGCCATCATCTGCGCACAGTTGTGGTGGACGGCCACATACCAGAAAGACCAAAAACAGTCACATTCTTATTTATGTTTTTTCATCAATATGGTTTATATTATAGAAGTCAAGGACTGAACCAGTCAATGAGCATGAACCTAACACTGCTGTACATCCAGCTGCGGATACCAATGCTGATTCTGTTGATGTTTTACCAAAGAAGAAGACAGATGCCTTGTCTGTAAGTTTTTGTTCACTTAGAAAGATGCGCATATCAAAAGTTCTTGTTTTATTTCCCCATAATTAACTATTCACTGTACTAAAAGTACAGACAGAACAAAACCTACAATGTATGACAAAAGTAAAGGTGTGCAAATGTTTCACCACTCCCCATTCCAGAAACAGACAGAATAATTATTTTGAAAAACAAAAATACAATTCCGTTTCATGTGTTGAAATATGTCTCAATTAATTTGCCAAACATTTAGCGAAATGATATCTATGTAGAGCAACAAATTAGCTTGTAAGTGTAAATGTAAATAACATTTCAAAATTTATGCTCTGCTTCCAGTTACTTGTATTAGGTGTTACGCTCAAAATTATTCTCATTGCATAATGCTGTCTTTTTCTGGAAAGGGAGTAGCATGAGGTACGTCAGACAAGACCCTGACTGATTTGTCTTGTTATTCTGTATAGAAATCAAGAACTGAACATTCAACAGGAACTGCCGCTACAGCTTTAGACGGCAATGGTGGAAAGAAGAAAGGTTCCATCTTTGTAAGTATAAACAATTTAAAAGGAACTAAAGTTTGCTTACATGTACCTGCCATAACATCTCAAGGTCAAGTTTTCAGCAAAATTGAAGTTTGTGAAGCTTAATCGGATGTGACAATCAAAAACAGCGTAAAAATACTGATCCATAGAGTGATTTCAAATCTGTCATGCATGTATAATGCACTTCTTGATGTTCATTTATTAAAAAAAAAATGTCTTCATTTGTTTGCAGGCCATACGGGATATCATACAGAAGGTAAACGGAGGTGACCAGATGATCAAAGAAATGGAGGAAGGCCTCATTTCACCCCGTACTAGAAGAATGGTGGTGCAGACCCTAGTTTCAGCTATGGTTGAGAAATTTGGAATGTAGTAAGTTTATTTCAAATGGCGGTTGCTGTTGTTGTTGTTGTTGTTGTTGTTGTTGTTGTTGTTGTGGATCAGCTATTCATTTCCAGCATAGACCTATGAGACACTTAGAACAGTCCAATTGGCTAAGAAAGCACTAGAATTTCTGGAAACTAACTTCAATTTTGATTGGTTGGAGTCAGTAATAGGACTTTACTTCGCTGTGACAAATATTGCAATATTTGTCACAGCGAGAGGAATATTTATATAGTATATCACACGAAAACAAAGCCATACAATATTATTTTTATTATTTATATCAGGCTGACTAGCGAAATAACAAAATGTGACTAACCTATTGTACAGTGACCGGGTACCAGCGAAAGTGTTGTTGATATGCGATAATCAAGCAATATAGTATTGTATAGACAGTTGAAGTTCCCGGATGACAGAGCAATACGAATACAATATTGGTCAGTCATCCGGTACTGCGCTAAAGATAAATACACGGATATATTGTACCACTTTGAAGCCTTATGTAGATAATAATAAATTATCTTGTATTACGTTTGTGAACTCCAGAATAATATTCAATCATACAAAACAATCAAACAGTCAATATTATATATAATATGACGAGATGAATAGCAAATATGAAGATGATGGTAATGATAACGATGATGACGATAACAAAACAATGATGATTGTGACGACGATGATGATGATGATGATTAAACGAAATAAATGTCTTCTATTCATCGTGATTTCTGTTTTACTCAGAATGCAGTATATCTTATGCTCTGACCCAAAGTACACATCTGATAATTCCTAGCAAAACCTAAATATTAATGAAGTAATCTAATTTCTTTATGATGAAATCTGTTTTGATTAAGGCTACATTTGCGGCCCAGTCCGGCGTGGCGGGTCTCATCCTCTACTCCGATCCCAAGGATTACGCAATACCAGGGGGGCAAACTTACCCCGATGGGTACTTTCTACCAGGCACTGGAGCACAGAGGGGTACATGTATGGCTGGTAGTGGGGACCCAGAGACACCGGGTTACCCCTCTGTTGGTAATTGTGTTTTAATTTCTATTGAATGAACATCATCTAATCAGGTCTGCATCTAATGTTCTATATTATTAGTATCCCTTCCCACAATTATTCATTTATTATTATTCAATGTTTTTGTTTATGTTTAATGCAGAGGTTTTATTCACAATGTTTGAAGTTATCCCGTTGTCCCGTAGTCGGTTTGGTGGTATATGTGAGGTATTACCGATGAAGGCTTATATCTATATAGCCTACTCATTCAATTTTCCTCTGCACTTTCCGTGTAATTGTATGTACCGTGGTATCTACAGGGTGAGTCAGAAAAGTGAGATCTGGCAGTCTTCTAAAGATTGTCTGACGTTCAGTCATGCATGCAGAGATTCAAATGAAAATGGTACCTAAATGTACTGGGAGAATAACTCTATCAAGACATATCATGAAATCCATGATTCAATATTCATACTTCAAACAATACAACTTTTAAAAAGTGGGACATTTTTTCTGACTCACTCTGTATATTTCGGTGAATGCCGTTGACTTCAAACGAGAGGTCCCGGATTCGAAACTTGCTTCAGTGTTCACATCTTGGGACGAGGTGCTTTGCCCACATTTTGTCCCTCTCTGGTACCTGGCAATGCTGGGGGTAATTATAGGAATTTCAGGGTCCGTAGGAAAAGCAGCATAAATTCCTACTATAGCTCCCCTGGGTATTAAAAAGACCAAGTTATGATTATTAACGTATCCGGACACCTACCTCCGGGACATCCAACCCCCGGATAACCACCCTCTAGGAAGACTACACCCATGACAACTACCCCCGGCCAACTACCCCCAGACAACTATCCCTAGGACAACTACCCCCAGATAACTACCCCCGGATAACTACCACCCGGAAAACTACCCCACGGACAACTACCCCGAGGATAGTTGTCCGGGGGGTGTTTCCTAGAGGATGGTTGTCTTATAGGGGGTAGTTGTCCGGATAGTAGTTGTCTGGTGGTAGTTGTCCGGGCGGTAGTTGTCCTAGGAGGTAGTTGCCCTAGGGGGTGGTTGCTCTAGAGGGTAGTTGTCCTAGGGGGTAGTTGACTGGGGGTGATTATGCAGGGGGTAGATGTCCAGGGGGTAGGTGCCCTAGAACTGATTACTCCTATTAATGATTTCTTCTTCTATTTGTTTCCATATGAAGAGGGTGCGTACCGCATCAACGTGAGTAATACCGATGTTCTTCCATCCATACCTATACACCCCATTGGCTATGATGATGCTTATCAACTTCTAAGGTGGGTAACCAGCGGTGGATGCATAATTCTCTTGCAGGAGGGTGGTGGTGGGGGGAGGGGGGGGGGTGCATAAAGACAAACAAGAACAAAAGGGCCAAATGTTTTGGTACTTAATGCGTACTTCAAGAACACCATATTAAGTTTAAGTTTGCCCTTTGACCCGCCAATATCATATGAGTGGATTTGCGTTGGAAATGATAAGAGGGGTATAGAAATAAACAAACAAACTAATCAAATGAGTAAGTAAATAAGAAAATAGTTAAATAAATATAGATTAAGAAATTAGGGTGCAATTCTGCTTTAATAGCAGTACCTTATTTGTATTTCTTAGAGTGTAGATGAATGCATTCACTAGTCTGTTTTCGCATTTTATATGTACAATAATTATATTTCGAAGTATAATACTTAAAAAACTTTACGATTCTCTTTTACTTTATCCACTTTCTCTTTTCTTTTACACCACTTTTAAAATCTTTGATTGGTCAATAATCTCACCACAGTCCGTTAGTAGTTTTAGTCTGAAAACAGTGGCTATTTACTCTTATGTGTTTCTTATACTTTCCAGACGTATGGGAGGAGAAGATGTAGAAGACGACTGGGCAGGGAGTCTACCTTTAGAGAATGGTTATAGACACGGACCTGGATTTGATGAACAATCCTCGGATATGTAAGCTTGTTTTCTTAACATATTTTTTTTTAAAGGGGGGGGGGGTGGGTATAGGGTAAGTTTTTGCGAAAAGGAAAATTCTTATGTTGTCTTGAGCAAGAAAAAGAAGAAGAAGAAGAAGAAAACGAAAAAAGGGAAAATGAGTGAAGAAATTCTCCCCCAAATACTTCATTGTTTTGTAGTCATTCTCTCAACGTATTTGGAAATATTTAGGAAATCGAAAAACACCTTTTCCCCTTAGCATACTCAATTTTCTGGTATATCTGTATCTGACATCTCTTAAAGAGCAAGTATACGATATTTCCTTTTGTTGCTTTTGGATGGGAATTAGTTACCTTCCCCCCCCCCATATATTCAGGGAAAAATCTAAAATTCCTTGTGTTGTATAATTTTTGCTCGCAAATGTTGCAAATATTTTCCCGATTCATCACAATATTGTCGAGTGGGACCATCACACTTTTGAGAGAGAGAGAGAGAGAGAGAAGGAAATAATGACAATGATTTTTTTTAAAAATATCTTTTTTGCTTCTCCGCAGGTCTGTAAGGATGTCTATCTTCACAAAGAATGAACAGTCTTATGCTTGGAATGTAATCGGTGTTGTACGAGGGAGCGTTGAACCGGGTAAGTCTTGGAAGTAAAGTAAGTACTTTAAATCAATGAATTCATAGTGTTTCCAGCCTGCAACCACACTGTTTCACACAGCTTTGAAAGTGTTTACACAGTTTCCACACATTTCCCCCTTTTTACTGTGTTCACATCGTTTCTACACTATGGTCACAGCTTTTTTTCTTCACAATTCCATACACTTTTTACATTGCTTCTACTGCTTTTCACTGTTTCCTCCCTGAATTCACACTGTTACAATGCTGCCTCCACACACGATTTCTACATTTTGTTCACACTGTTTGTACACTCTTGAGATAATGTGTTCAAACTATTTCAACATTGTTCTTACACTGTGGAAGTGTGGAACACACAAGTCATGTCCTTATTAGGATGCAATCTAACTTTTCCAAATAGAGTTTGACTCGAGTCTTTCATAGTTTTGATATAACCTATGCCGATTTCTTTTCATTGTCTTACGATAATCTTACTTGATTCTCATGTTCATCGTAGATCGCTATGTGTTGGTAGGAAACCATCGTGACGCATGGGCATTCGGTGCCATCGACCCGTCCAGTGGTACAGCTTCTATGTTAGAACTCAGTAGGACAGTCGGAGTCCTCATAAATAAAGGTAAGCTTCTATAAATGCATGTCCAATCTTTAACTCCAATTTGCTTTTGATGTTGAGCTAGTCATGATTCTATTTCTATATTCTTTTTCTCGTATAGATTGTGATTGACAAAACACTATAAACCGTTCGCTCTGTTAAAAAAAAAACCCGAGTGATTTGCTCACAGGTATATGACAGGAACACCCATTGTTGTTGATGATTTGTTTTGTAGATATCACGGTCCAGTCTTATAAAGAGTTGCGATTGATCCAAATCAATCGCGAGTCCTCCAATCAATCGCAAGTTTGCAGCTTCTTATTTCGTATGTACTTACTTGCGATTGATATCAACTCTTTATCAGACGGGGCCGTCCCAGCAGGCGCGTAGCCAGGGGGGGGGGGGGGCGGTGGGGGCGATCGCCTCCCAAAAACGCCGGCCAAAAAAAAAATGAGAGAGAAAGAGAAGAAAAAAAGTAAGAGGACGTAGGAAGAAAAAGGGAAAGGAGTCGAGAACGGTACAACAAATCGTCTTCTTTCTCTAATAATTTAATGAAACGTCAAAGCTTCCGCGCTTCGAAAAAGGGGGACTGAATACAGATAAGGATTAAGGGTCGGGAAAGGTACAACGAATCGTCTTCTTTGTCTAATATAATACGTCAAAGCTTCCGCGCTTCGCGCAGGAGGAGGGGGGAGGACTGAATTCAGACAAGGATTAAGAGTCAAGAACGGTACTTCGAGTCGTCTTATTTCTCTAATAATTTAATGAAACTTCAAAGGAAACTTCAGAGGAAACTGAATTCAGATAAGGATTAAGAGTCGAGAACGGTACATCGAATCGTCTTCTTTCTCTAATAAATTAATGAAACGTCAAAACTTCCGCGCTTCGCGCGTGAGTGGGACTGAATACAGATAAGGATTAAGGGTCGAGAAAGGTACAACGAATCGTCTTCTTTGTCTAATAATACGTCAAAGCTTCCGCGCTATGCACAGGAGGGGCGGACTGAATTCAGACAAGGATTATGAGTCGAGAAAGGTACAACGAACCGTCTTTTTTCAAAGCTTCTGCGCTTCGCGCGGGAGGGGGGGGGGGGGGGGGGAACTCCCCCCTAAAATGAAATCCTGGCTACGCGCTTGCGTCCCAGATCAAACAATCGCCACGACGGAGGATGGCGGCGGGTAAGGAGGGCAGGGATGTCTGTAATTCATCCACTTTAATATAGTCTGACGTCAATCATTCAGATCATGCATTCAAACAAGTCATCCTGTTCCATTTATGTTGTAGGTTGGCAGCCGCGTCGTAGCATCATGTTTTGTAGCTGGGGTGCTGAGGAACAGGGGTTGATCGGATCGCAAGAATGGGTGCAGGTACCATCAGGGTCATGACCTTTTCTGAAATATTAAATTACATAATCAGAAGTGGGGAACCAACATATGGGTTTTCTTTAATCCAGTCATTAGGGAAAAGTCAGGGAATGTGCGAAAATGACTCCAGTCAGGAAAACATCGTATAATTTCATAACCCTTCAAGAAAGTAGTCAGCTTTTTACATTTTGTGTTGTGTCTAAACTACATATCGGGTGATTTATAAAGAAAATACAAATACAACCACCTCCATAGCAGCTGGGATATACGAGATATTCTCCAGAGAAAAAAAAACACGATGTTTTAATGACGTCACTATATGGACCAATACTGCCCAAGCAGACGACATCCCATAAAGAATGAACATAATTGCAAAGCTATTATTTGTCAAATTATTATGAGTTAAGTGTATATATATATGTAATGGCATGTCAAACCATTCAAGAGGGAATATGACCCGATTCTGATAACTAAAATCTTTTGCTTGTAAATACTCAGGATAGGGGTTAATTAACAATCAAAGAAACCAGACTTTCAAATTGAAAAACCCCGGAATGATATTAAGGACGGCATTTGTTCCCTCTTGAAACGCCAAACATACCGCGGTGTGTGCAGCTGAATATACAATGGCGTCTTATTTTGTTTACAAGGGACAGATTCCTTTATTTTTGTATCGCTGCATTTGTCATCAAAATAAAACCATTTTAGCCTGACGGTAGTGAACTAAGAAAACGAACTCAAGAGAAGATGAAAACACAGGCACTGAAAATGTGTGAGATGTCATGGGACATCGTCTGCTTGTGCAAATCATGTCCATACTGTGATCTCACACATCTCAGCAGCGTTCGGAGATCTCTTCAGGTGCTATGCCAGGACTGTATTTAAGCGCTTTGTAATTTATAATAATCATTACTTCGAATGTTTTCAAGCAATGAATTTTGATAACCTTGTCGAATCATAGTTTCAACTTTGCAATAATGAAAATAAAGTTAGTTTTTAAAATCAATGAATATCTAGTTTAAGTAAAACGCTTGGATCCCTGTCTTATTTGGAATTCATTGAACTACTTGCAAATTATCTAATATAATCATTTAAAACTTGAGCTTTCTTGAAACGCCCGAGACAGACAAGGTTCAACGAAACATTGGGCGCCTATTTATATTTTGAATGATAATGATGAGATGTATTTACGATTTTCAGTACTTGACAGGAAGAGAGGTAGAGAGCGAGAGAGAGAGAGAGAGAGAGAGAAAGAGCCGACTTATATAATTGAATATTTTAATGAAATCTAATTATGCAAATGATAAGAAAATGGGCTATCTACGTGCTTATTATATCATTCGTCAACTAGAACATTATGAGAATCTATGATTTTTGTTCATCTCATTTTACAGGAATTTACCAAGACTCTTGGGGTGAGAGTTGTGGCTTATATAAACGTCGATATCTCATTGGATGGTGAGATACAATCATGATAAACCGTGATGTACAGCTTGTGTTTGTCTTTTTCATACGGTTACGGTTGAAACGGTTACTTCATTTTTGTAATAATTCAAATGTTTCACGATGCAATACGATAACGATATGTTACAAGGAATGATTAAATGTTTAGTTTTTAGGTATACTCAAGTCGGAAATGGAATCTTGAACTGACGTACAGGTCATGTGTTTATGAATTAAAACTTTTGTTTCATTATACAGAAATGGTAGGCATATAGCGCAGTACAAAAATTGAAATTATCATTTCTTCTAACTCTTAAGAAAAATGTCCTCAATTTATTTGATCACATTCTTCGTTTATTATTTTCTCCGCTCTCATACATCTGTTCTTCTTTTTTTATCGTAAGGTACCTGGGTTCCCGACATCGCAGCCACGCCCAATTTGGACCGACTAATAAGAGAAGCTACTAAAAGGGTATTAATTGTTCCTAAACAAATTTAAAGTAGAAAGGAGCAGATATATTCTAGAACATTCAGTTGAACATGTATAATTCTGAATGATAATGATAATAATACTAATAATAATAATAATAATAACAATAATAATAATGATAATAATATTGATAGAAATACAATGATAATAATAATGGTAATATTAATAATAATCATAACTACAATATCGACTATTTTTTTAGGAGCGCGAAAAACAAAAAAGTACATATCGCTTACACATCTAAGAATTTGAGGAGAAATATGAAATACATATATTTATGAAATACATAAATCTAAACTCATATTACCGAGGGAAGAAAAATAATTTAAGATGTAAATAATCATCGGATTCAAACCGATTTCTTTGGTCAGATACCTGATCCCGATCAAGACTCTCTTTGACACATGGAAAGCACGAGGTAGCTTCAATGATGACGGAGAACCAATGTGAGTATCGTCTGCTAGAGCGGTTGTATAGCATCTGCGGTGGAGAGAAAAGTCATTGCCAGGGTACATACGGCTCGAACAGGAAGATACAACTAGTTGTTGCTTTGGTCAGATACGGGGCTCTACAGCCAATCAAAATCAAGGTTTCCATGGTAGTTACCATTGATGGCAAAGACTCTCAATGGTTAGTTTTGTGCGACGGGGCCCAGATTCTAATTCAGATGAAGATCGTCAGACGTACTCTCTATGACAGAGGGTATGTCAAAATGTGAGTATTGTCTGCTAGATAGGATGTAGACTAGCGGTAACGTTCTGTCGTTAAAGTAAACCACGATATTGATCAGAAAGCAAAATTGATCGTATACGACTCCTGCTGTGGCAACAATCACTGTGTCATATCTGCGGTCAATTGTCAACACTCAATTCTTAACTTTAGCCCTAGACTCAAAACACTAACACTAACCCTAAAATTACCCGTACACCTTATCGCAACCCTAGTCAACTTGACCCTCTATCTTTTGTGAAATAATTAAGCCCCTGGCAAATGTGTCTGGAGCAAATGTCTGATGAGATCGATTGTTTTCGAGCTCTTTGTGAAACTTTTTTGAATTGAGATATTCGGGCATCAGCTACTCAGAACTGTTAGTTAAATTTTGGTTCTTAGACCTGTTATTAAAATGAATCTTTGATCCCGCAGACATATACACTCCTTGTTATCTCCAGCGTGTTTCGTACCAATATTTCTTGTTTTCTGTTTATTATCAGTATTTACACTCTTGGATCCGGCTCTGACTACGCCTCACTCTTACAAATAATCGGAATATCTGCTCTCGATGTGAGGTATAGGTATGATCACGTAAGTATAAAAACTATTTGCTATCTTCTCCGACGATGAAGGGCATAGCGCATTGAAAGAGATAGTTGTGACACGGGCTTATACGCGTATCGCGAGCACGGCCAGAGGTTAAATCGTGGAGCTCCAAATAGTTACCTTCCACGTATAGTCTCTATGGGAAGGAACTACTGGAAGCTCCATTTCACAACTGACCAATCAGGAGCAACCTTCATTGTTGCCACTCTTTGTAAATAGATAGGCTCTGATAAATGGTATTTTGTTTTCTCTTTGTATACATCGTGAAGCAACTTTTTGAGGACTGTAATGTAAATTATTGTACTACGTGGATTTAGTGTGAACGATGTAATTTCACATTTGGAAGCTTTCTTTAACACCACATGGTAGAATTACTGAAAAGGTTGTTGATAATTCTTTCGTCAAGAAAACCCGTTAATGGGGCGTTAACAAATTTAGGAAAGAGAAAGAAATGAAAGAGATAATAATTGAATTAAGTTTGTTAAGAAATTAAACACGTTCTATATCGGTATTCAGGTAGCAGTCCCAGTCCGCTCTTACCCCATGTACCACTCGGTGTATGAGACCTTTGACCTCGTAGCCAATTATTACGACCCATCCTTCAAGTTCATGCTCGCCATCGGCCAACTCATGGGCGAGATCATGCGACAACTCGCCGACTCCGTCGTTATACCCATGGACGTCGCCGACTACGCCAGAGCGGTCGATATGTTCTTCATCGAGCTACGAGGTGGTGATATAGGAACGAGGATGGTTCAAGAAGGGCTATCTTTCGGTATATTTTTACAGTTTCATGTTCTTGTTATTCTTGACCGAGAAAACAGAGTGGGCCTCCTGCCTCAATGGAATAATAGTAATACAATAATAATACTTTTGTTAAAAACATGGAAGCCATATCCGTATGAATGCTGTTCTTCCTGAAGGCACTGTAATTTCTCAGCAATTGCCAAGTACCCATTTACAACAAGATGGAGAGTGACAATTGTGGATTATTATCTGGCCAAATTACGTTTGTACCGGGCTAGGATTCGAACCGTCAATCCTTGGGTTGAGAGTCAAGAGAATAAACCACTACTATACCACGATACTTCCATGTGGAAGCATTAACCCCCATCCTTAATCGATGTAATCAAATTGACTAGATAAGACAACTATTTCTGTTAGATTTGATTAAAATCAATTAAAGCTCAGTTGATTAAAATCTATATAACACATTGTTACAAAATTAGTATTCATTTACACCAGTGAATATGGGTAGGCTAATCATGTCCACTAACAATAACAAACCTTGGAGCTAATTTGTCCAATCGTGTTCATACGTGTGCTTAAAAACCATGTGCATGCTGTTGATTTTGTTTTGCACTCTCTTCTTTCTCAGAGTACATGGAATCGGCAGTAAATAATCTTACAACCGAGGCAAACGCTTTCAAAGAAAGACTGACAGATATTGACAAAGATGAGTGAGTATGAAAATAGATTATATCTTCGTCCGAATGGTTTTTCGTTGCTTAGATTTGCTTAAATTCACTTTAAAAGATCAAATATAAAGTAATGCTATAGATAAAGAAGTGCTTTTTCTTTCCTTCCTAAATTTAAGCTGTCTAATAAATAAAAAGAGATTACATCTTCATCCGAATGGTTTTTCGTTGCCTAGATTTGCTTAAATTCACTTTAAAAGATTAAATATTACAAGACATGTTGGGCTACTCATGAGTGCAATACTAATCGTATAATTATGTTGCAGAAAAAAGCAATTCGAGTTTATACCGATGCAGGTTATCGCAACCACAATGGCCATTTATTTGCCACATTAAAAACTTTAAAAATAAGTGATATACACTACATGCAAATATCTCTGTTCATGTTTCGGCTTAAATTCGGCATTCTCACTAGTCATATTATTCCAACATAATGCTAATTTTTTTCAAACCATTTTCTCGGTCTTCTCTCTTACCCTTTCAATTTATATCCAGTATATTAGCCGTACGTGCCGTCAATGACCAGATAATGTATCTGGACAGAATGTTTATCGATCCGATGGGCCTTACCAAAGATAGAATCGATGAAAAGTAAGTGATCAACAATGCGGAAGTTGCGGATCAATGGAGGGGCGGTGGAAGGGGGGGGGGGAATAGGGACTTTTAGATTCGCACTGGCAGTGCCTTTAAAGGACGTCACACGTAGCAGTCCACTATGTTGACGTGCAAACTGGGGCAGTGAGCGATGCAGACCTGAAAAACTCTAAAGGAGCCCCGGAATACTAAATATAAGTTCTGTTTAAAAGCTAAGAAATTCATCAAAATGTATGCTCTGAAAAGCCTAACATCTCATTGATATTGCAGGGAGGGGGGGGGGGAGGGGGGGGGGGGGGGGAGGGGGCGCGGCAGCATATATTATCTATAGCACACGTATACACCTAAGTGCTCCCAGCTAAAATTTTGTGTGCCCCTCAGCACCTTCCTTTATGAGAAATCATTTCACAAAACATACGTTGTGCTCAAAGACAAATATAACAATAGCACCCCTCACTACAACTTTTGTTCTATATTTTATTTCATTTCTTATATGGGGGGGGGGCGGGGTATCGTGCCGTTCCCGGGCCTTACTAGTCCATTCTGCATTCTTTTTGCATATCCCTCTCTCCATCCTCCCCCTCTCACCTCTTTTCATCTCCCTCTCTCCCTCCGCAGACATGTCATCTTCGCACCGAGCAGCAAGAACGCTTACGCCGGAGAAAAGTTTGCGGGTATCGTGGACGCCATGTTTGATATCGATAACAATGCCGACCCTAATAAATGGGAGTACGTCAAAATGGAACTTGCCCAAGTCACCTACTTTATCCAGTCGGCAGCTTACATGTTGCAACCTGTCGCGTAGATGTCCATGCGTTTGTTGATATAACACACAACATAAAGATGATGTACAGAACGTTTTAAGATTTAAAAAAAATACATTCCACCGAAAATATACTTGATTTGTGGTATTTTGTTTGTTTTAATATTTAGAATGTTGTACCAGATTTGGTCATAATTATTCATCTGTTTAGATATACCTTTGACACAATTGTGAACTCATATGCTATTAGAATGAATACCACTTTTTTCTTAAGACATATTTTTGAACCTATCCACGCTATTTTTTCCTTCAAATTCCTCTTTGTTCTTGGTCTTCATTTATATATTCAAATATGCTTTTTTATTAATTCAGCATTTCTGATATTATTGGTGACACACCACTGTCTGACTACCTGCAGGAAATATGATTTCATTGATAGTCGTCATGTCTGCGTACCGCACACACCCGTTGTTGGAACATTGCTCATTAATATCTCCAATGCCATTCTAATGGAAATGGATGTCGGACGAATTACAGCCGTAGATTCTTTTGACCTGTCATCTGCATTTGATACGATAAATTATGGCATTCTATTGAATATTCTAGCTTCCCTTGGTCTTCGTGGCATCACATTACAATGGTTTAAATCATATCTGTCAAATCGTCAACAGCAAGTATGTATCAATAGGGCTAAATCTGATAGTCTCTCTGAATTGTGGAGTCCCACAGGGCTCTGCTAGTGGTCCAATGTTGTTTTCAATCTACCTGAGTGAACTGCATTGAATCATTACCAAATTAAATACCATTGCTTTGCTGATGATGTCCAAACTTATGTTTCTTTTGTTCCAAATCAAGAATGTGTCGTTGCCATCCATAAGAATCCTGCTTAGATGAATTGGATGAGCACTTATTCTCTCAAGTTAAAAGTGATAAATCTGAAATTGTGCTTTTTGGTTCCAAGTCTTAAAGGTAAAGACCAGTATTGGAAACGCCCCAATTTCAAAAAATGAAATGGAAGCTCTCATTACCAATCATGTGAAATAATAGGTTTTGACTAATACATGAGGATAAAAAATTTGCCGGGAAATCGCCTACTAATTCATATATTTGGTAAATTTGTTTCTCTCATGGTCTGTGAGAGATATAGGGTAGTCCCATATACATCTTTCTGTGTATAGTGCTTGTAACTTTACGAAGAATGGGCCAAATTTCTTATCATTTTGATGATTCCAGAACCTTGCAGATGCTAGATGCTAGATGATCAACCTTTTCTGATCGATTCCACAACGTTTCTTTCATACTCACAATGCAATCACATGACCATAACTGGTCTTTACCTTTAACTGGTAAAGGTCAATGTGTGTCACATCAATATTGGAAACGCTGTGATCAAACCCTCTGAGGCATGTAGAAATCTTGGTGTTACATTTGATCCCGCAATGTCCATGTCAAAATCATTTGTCAATACTTGTTAATCTGTCTGGTATCCGTTTAGAAATCTAGGAGTTGTACATGCACTTGATTCATCTCGCCTGGACTGAACTCGCTAATTTATCAACTACCCCAAGCTCAAGTCTCCAGTCTGCGATTACAAAAGACTGCAGCTCGTCTTGTTACTTTTTCCCCTAAGAGAAACCATGACGCCAGTATTACAGTCTCTCCATTGGCTTCCTGTTCAATATCGTATATATTATAAGTAATTACTCCTGCTTGTATTTTATTCTTTACATGGGTCATGAGCATCACTATTTTGATGGATACCGGTGCAATATAAGTGTTTATATTATTATTATTCATCAACATTTCATTGAATTTTAAATTCTGGCTATCGAATTTCATCGATATAGATGGGATGCTCATATTGCGTTTTTGTAATATTTTTGTGTTTGTCTAAAATATTAACAAACGTGAATAGACGCGAACAACGACTTTTAACTTGATTGTCTTATTTGCTTGTCATGAAAATATACTTATTATATTATCAAATGAACTCTTACATGGATGAGGAGTATTCCGATCACAGCCTTTGAGGTATTTCGTGTATACAGCAATTCGTATTACAATATTTAAGTATGACTCGCATCTTCCATTTACACAAAATTAGATACATCATCATTTCTTGACAGTGCGTTATCCATAAGGGTGTAAAATTACTTTATACATCTATGGTTGCGATTTATAAACTTTGTGCGTATACTGCACACTTCAAGGGGAATTCTGATTTGTGGATATTAAATCTCGCAAGCGAACACGCCTGCATCCGATTTAGAAAATGTTGGTCAGAAAAGAAAAGAAATTCAAACTTAGGATCATTTAGGCGAATATGTAATTGAAATAAAGTAAAAATAAAATATAATGATATTTAAGGGATCATATGTCTACATGCACCTATGACAGGCTGATACTGAAATACATTCAGTGGTGAATGGAAATAATCATAAACTTAAAAAGAAAGAAATATTGATCAAGGGAAAATGGATGGCGCCTTCCTTCCGTGGAGGCATGGGCCTGGGATGCGTAAATGCAAAAAAAGAGCCCCCATCCTTCAGAGCTTTCCGAATAAACCCTTTTTGTATCACCACAAGGGGATGTAGTGATGTTGGGCATCACACCCCTTCCATTGTGAATTTTGTTTGTGTGTTTTGAGGCGGTGATATCAAGAAAACAGATTACAACGTATAATATTGTGAAAATAATTTTTGTTTCGCACGTTTATTACTGGAAAAAAGATCATTAATATACAGAGATTAGAGTTTCGTTTAAGTACTTGACTGGATTTCTTTTTCTAAACAAATCCACAAACAAGACAGATACAATAAAATACATAAAAGAATGCATTTCTTTGCATAATCATGTCGATGTACGAAATAAAAAAATCCTGAATTTTCACAATACATGTTGGTTCAAACACGCATTTCAAAGTGTATGCGTTCTGTTCAATTCCATTAGCGTGGTACATATTGTCTTATCAGCGAAGTTTAAAAAGGCCGTGTACTCTACCTGTCTGATGAAAATAAAACATTTTAATGCCTCAGTCACACCTTCGCGTTTTGGCTTGCGTATTGCTGCGTATTCATGACAAGTCGTTTTAACACTTATTATACATTTATTGATATCAAGAATCAAATTCTTGACATCAAGAAATAAAATTCTTGATATCAAGAATTGCCATTGCTTTACAACAGAAAATAATTTCTTGATATCAAGAATTCATTTCTTCATATCAAGAAAAAGGAATAAATGTTAAAACGACTTACCATAAATACGCAGCAATACACTATAGCCAAATACGCAAAGGTGTGACTGAGGCATAATGCACAACGTGAAATTAGAAACATATAACGAAGTTCAACTTATTACAACTTTGGGATTTGAAATATAATGCTGATACTACAACAATAATATTGATAGTCACTGTTATCATTCTAGCCTATTTACCGACGGTTACTGACAATATAATTTATCACACTACCAACAAAACTCTATGCTATGGGACACTCTAGTAGGTCAGTCACACCGGTAAACCGACTCTTAGTTCTTATTGGTCCTTGGACATGGTGAAGGTATTTTTTTTTTGTTCGGTGGGTAGTCGGTCTCGTATCCGTCTCGTTGGTGTGACTTGGCGTATTCAGAATATTAACATTACTTTCAAGTCAAAATGGTTTGTTAAAATACTTTCATTGCGGCAAAGCCGAATTGCGAAAAAAATTACAATAACACAATGATAATTGATAATATATTTATAAACGAGGAGACAGAACCTGTCCTAACATGGACAGAGAGGGTAGAGAAATAAAAAAAGAAATGAAATAGTTAAAGAATGAGTTTTAAGATATAACAGACGATTTACATACCTAATGAATTAGAAAATACAACAGGTAATTTACATATCTAATGATTCTAAAATACAACGGGTAAATTAGAAATCTAATAAATTTTAAAATACAACAGGTAATTTACGTATTTAATGAATTCTAAAATACAACAGGTAAATTACATATTAAATGAATTCTAAAATACAACAGGTAATTTACGTATCTAATGAATTCTAAAATACAACAGACAATTTACATATCTACTGTATTCCAACATACCCCAGTTATCATCCAAACAGACCGGTTTACTAACCTATTCAAATTGTATGCATACTTATTAAACAAAGGTTGTTCTTGACAACCTGAAAGCTTGCCCAAGGCTTGTCCGACATAGTAACATGTACTGTTTGCAGACTGAATTCCAAGTTTTGTAGTTCATTCGTTAATAAGAGGTTCATGGAATAACTCGTCACTAGGTACCCAGGAAAGAAACATTCATAAATTTGAATATTACATTACAGCAAATTCGTTTTCTTCATAGTAACTTGAACACTCTTCGAAGGAATGGGTTACCCTGGTACGGTTCAAATTGAACATGTTCAATATGATGAAATCACTCCTGTTGCAACTATAACCAAATGTAATACAATTACTGCAATATAAAGCGTCTTCGTTGAAATTTATCATCATTTATTTTATTGAAGATTTTAATTTTTCTTTTCATTTATCTGTTTATCTATTTATTATTTATTCATCAAAAATCGATTTAGATCCACATTAATCATGGTGATTTCAACGACTCAAAATTCCAAATACTTTAACTTGCCATATGGCTTTATCGAGTCAAACAACACTTGCAGATCTTACTCCCGTTGCACACGAGGAGTCATTTCGATTGCATCATTACTTGCGCTTACCAAGCCTATGACGACGCAACGTGTGCACAAGTTAATAACTCAGTCATGCGTCAGTGAATGACGCTTCGTGTGTAACGGGCAGCGAGACAGTAATTCTGGGCCCTGTCTTATAAAGAGTTTCGATTGATCCCAATCAATAGCAAGTCCTGACATCAATCGCAAGTTTGCAGTCACCTATCTCTTATATACATAGTTGCAATTGATATCAACTCTTTTGAAGACGGGGCCCTGGAGAGACGTAATGACAGTGACGTCATGGATTGTTGAAATTGTATTATTGTCCTCATGACGCAGTAGGTTCTAACGAGTTGGCCGCCGACCAAGACGAATAACTGTGAGTACGTACAGCTGCATGTAGAATCCTTGTTATGCAACCGGTTTTAATGAGTTGGCCGCTGACTGGACGAAGTATGTCACAATGGAGAGTTCCTTTTTGACGAGATTCCACTGCTCGACGTCGTTGGGTTGAATGTTATACATGGCGTCGACGATTCCAGCGAATTTCTCGCCTGCGTACGCATTCGCACTGCTGGGTGCAAAGACGACGTGTCTGAAATGAAAGAAATGATGAAGGCGTGGAAAAAATGGTTTTTAAATCAGTTCATTATGACACAGTATAATGCTGTATTAATAGCAGATATATAACTATTTAATCCAATTCTACTAGGCTAACCTTAAAGGTGAAAGGACCCCACCCCTTCACAAAACATTCCATGAATAAAGCTTATGGAAAATTATAATAATCTCTCTTTTTCGGAGGGGGGGGGGGGGGGGGGAGGAGGTAGGGTCCACATATTTTATTAAGCTGGTCCAAGGTTTCTATCTCCCCTTACAACGTCTAAAAATTGCAAAATTAAGATATCGGAAAATCCTGACTGAACTTAAATGAACTCCATATAATTGCTGAACGAAATCCCGAATGTCGTGTGAACCCTGAATCAAAGCATCATTACAAAATTAAATTATGACATGACTAGGACTGTATAGATATCTCATTTGTAAAAATAAAATCTAGCTCTCTTTAAATAATGTTGTCTGTCAATCAATCAGTAGACCATTTTTTGTATGTATAATCGCTTCATGCATGCTCTCATGACAAAAAGTTAATGATGCCAGACAACCTTTTAATTTTCTTTTCGTCCCACATGTTTTTTTTTAATGGATGTGATTGATTTGTAAACTTACTTGGTTGTGGGTCTGCCTGTGAGCCCCATAGGATCAATGAATGACCGCTCCAGATACATCAACTGATCGTTCATCCGACGTACAGCTAAAATACTAGTAATCAGAGGGGAAAAAGAGAAAGATTAATAAAATATATTGAGTGACCTAGCATGATTTCTGCAGTTGCAGAGTAAGGGACGTGTCAAAGAATGCAGTCCTACGGGTAACAACAATCTAGACACAAGAATCAAAATAGAATGACAAATCAATTTAGGGACATGAAAAAGGAATCGTGTCTAAATTAAGTATTTGAATAGTAGTAAATTTAATCCCCAAATGTCAATGATCGAAATTATTCAGAAAGTTTAATCATTTCCAATCGAAAAACGCATATCATTGAACATCATTCAACAGCTTTAACATGTTGATTACGGCTAAAAAATCATACACATGTTCCAATTTATGGACCCAATTTTTGAAATATGGACCCAAAAGGCACCTGAAAAATCTGATAATCTTTCCACTTTTGTGCTTTCAATTTTTTTTAAAGCATTGTGCCCCCACCCCCCTATTAACAAAAACCTGGACGCGGCTCTGTAAATGTGTATCTGCATAATACAGTTAATATTATCAAATGCTTACTCGTTTCTGTTAACCTCCTCAAGGCGTGCTTTGAAATCTGTGGCAGCGGCTGTGAAGTTTGCCACTGCAGTATTCATGTACTCTAATAGAGAGAGAGAGAGGGAGAGAGAGAGAAAGAGAGATCTTACAAAGAATACTTAATTGAAATGGAAAACTACTGTGAAATCGCTACTCAGAGAGCTTAAGAGCACCCATTTTACTTTGCTTGACTGTACTGACATCCTGAAACTGCCAGCTCACAACTTCAGTAAAAAAATGGACATCCCAAATGGGCTTCTTTTCCTCGGGGGAGGGGGGGGGGGGGGGTGAGATTTTCCGGGGGTATTTTTTCGGGGGTTGATTGCCCAGGGGGTAATTGTCCTGATACGCCTACGAAGACTTCTGACGAAAGTGGAACAGTACGAAAAATAGTTCTATGGAATTGTGTTTAAAAAGAAAGAGATATGATATACAAATGAAATGATGGGGGATGTGTCAATTTCAAATAGTAACTATTTCTATCGCTTGCGATGGCCATCTTGAAATGTCTAAATTTTGAAAAACACAAGAGCGTCCGGGGGCTCTAGATCTACCCTAAACCTACTACAAGGGCACTAAAGTGGATCCCTGGACCGTGACCATTCGTAAAAATAGGAGTGGTTCCCAAATTCTGGTTGTATAAACACATAGCTCCGTTTAGTCTCATTTCACAACGACCCCTATCGTCAGAGTCAGCAGCCTAATATGTTAGCCTTTGGAATTTTACCCGAAAAAAAAAAATCGTTAACAATTCATCTTTTGGTTAAACAAAAAGCACATCCACCCCGACGTACGTTATCCCTAGCTCTTTCATTGGAACCCTCATGTCTCAATGACTTTTGAAAGTTCACCCACCGTAATTTGATCAAAATAGGTTGCAACCTCGCCATTTGCTATATAACACATGTGAAACAAGTCGAACTTTGGACTCAGTTTGCCGAGCGATTGTAAGGTTTCAGGTCAAGCACACGAAGGATAAGAAGCATGAATTATAATAGATCAGTTCTTATCGGTTCATTATGTCCATTTCATACAACCCCACCGTAATTTTTCCATTGAAGATTAGCAAACATTCTGCCGAGGTAAGCAAAAACATGAATATTCATGATCGCCATGGACTATTCGATTATTTACAGAGGGGTGCAATTGTGCACCCCCCCCCCCGTGCACCACATCAAAACCCCCTACTTAAAGTCAAGTATTTCATTGTATTATGTAGTTTGGTAGGTTTATTTTAATAACTGTTTAATTATCAGATATCAATGATAGTTTAAAGGTATGGAAATGTTGAATTTTATTTGTAGCAAAGCAATCTCACATACAAATTCACTACCAAGTGTCGTTTAATCCGCCGATTGTCGTCTGCTATAAACGTCCAGCGAGCGAAAATGAGACAACCGGAGCAATATGATTGTTCTGTTAGACAGTGGGTGTTTCTATCGCTTAAGACGGCTTCCTTGAAGGTTCCAAATTGCTATAACTCGACTGTCTGCGGGGGCTCCGCAATCATGACCCCAACAGGGCTCTGCCCCTAAACCTACTAAAGTTAATTTTGAGAACATGTGCGGTAACGGAATACAACCAGGAGGTATGCCCAGAGGCAGAAATAACCGTACAAGCCTCCTTACCATGTTTAATCGAACTTATACTCGCAAATGTAACCGGGCATATAATAGGTCCAAGGAATATAACTCACTAAAATCGATGCCATAATCTGCCATCTGTTCACCGATAGTTCCATCCCGGAGGCTCACCCAGTAACCATTGACCGTGTCTGCGTAATCTGCCGGGTCCATGGGAAGTATGACGTTATCCGCCAGCTGCCGGAGAATCTCCCCGTAAAGCTGGCCGGCCGCCAGGATGTATTTGAAGTCGTAGAAATTCTTGACGAGCTCGTACGTCTCGTATACGGAGTGGTAGCACGGGTAGGACGCAACAGGCGTCGCTACCTGTGAAAACGAGATTTTGATTGAAGTTCATGGCTTAATATTTCCGAGTTAATGCACTGACAGGTAAAAGACGCATCCATTGATAATTGTATTTGGAAGATAATTTTGAAGTAATTAAATCAATCAACCGATGATAATAAATAATAATAATAATCTTTTAGTCCACTCCAAATATTATTAAACCGAAAATGGAAATTCTTTTTGCCCAATTGATCGATCATCAAGCAACTAAACAGTAGTCAATAAAACCAATCATCCTATAGTCAAGCAATTGATTTCCTGATTAATCAGCAAATCAACTCATACCTTAATCAATATATCAGTTGATAAACTGATAAATTAATCAATCAATATATCAGTCGGTCAATCAGTCAACAACAAGTAGAATACCCAATGAATATATCAAGCTATTAACTGATCCTTCAATCAATCAATAAATCAAGTAATCAATCAATTGAGTTACTATTCTATCCATCAATCAATCGAGCAATTTATCAGTTAATTAATCTACCAAAATTACGAATCAATAATCAGGTCAACACATGCATACAAACTCATTTCATGTACTTGACCTTTTTAGATTCAACAGTCACAAATTAAGAATAGATAATAATCCATTTCAGTAATCAACCAACCGCCAAATAAAAAAATGATTAACGGAATAGACCAATACCGGCCTTACAAAACCAAACAAATTGTGATCATATTAATTATTCAAAAGTAGGTAAGCCCCAAACCAGTCCCTATCAAGCAATAAATGACCGTTAAATCATTCACCTAATAAATCGATCAATAAGTATTTACTGATATATTTTGCATGTTTCGACAGGTATTATACTCACCCTATCGAATGTGTAAGTGAAATCCATCGCGGATATGCCTGCCAGCTGTAAGAATGGTGCATAGTCCGATCCGGATCCAAGAGTACCAATGCTATTCGAGACAAGATAAAACAGCGATGATCATTATTCTACAACTGGGTCATAACTATATTCGTAGATTAATAATAATGATAATAAATAGTGAAATTTTGTGAATGCACAATGGCTGTCAAAATGGACAATAATGGCGCATTTGTGAGGAAATTGTATGATTGTGGGCATACATCTATCAAGGAATTCAAGAAAAAAAAGCAAAATACACATACTTCTGGACATAATTCTACAATAATAGCATTAAAACATAATTTCTAATATGAAAGCAAGGTTACATAGCTTAATGTACAGGTATAAATTGAATTATATACGAAATACTGTTGTTAATAGCCAATAAAAAGTATATTACAGTAATGAAAGGGTGGTACAGAGTAAGACTTAATTAAACAAGCTAAGATATTGGGAAAGGAAACCCCCACAACAAATCCATTTTATACTGTTCAACAGAAATGTTCATATAATAAACAGCTACAGCTATTCTCCCTCTCTTTATCTCTGACTCTTTATCTCTCTCTCCCTCCCCTCTCTCTCTCTCTCTCTCTCTCTCTCGCTCTCTCTCTCTCTCTCGCTCTCTCCCTCTCCCCTCTCTCTCTCTCTCTCTCTCTCTCTCTCACACACACACACACACCCACATGCACATCGACATACCCCACGCACGGCAATACGCTCACAGCTTTACACATCCTCCCATAGTAAACCGTATACTTCGTATAACAAGGGAACATAAATGAGTGAAAGTGATTCTACTCTTAAGTTATATTACATTCTAGTAGAACTATTCCGTCGAATACAATAATACTATTATTGTATTCGACGGAATACATGCAGGCAAAGACTTTAAATGATATGTGTGCTTCCCCCTGGACACCACATATTCACAAATTCCAAAGTATAGTGAACAAATAATTGAAATAAAAAAATGTATTAAAATTCTATTAACCGGGTAAAATTAATTGTTACAAAAGTATAAATGGTTAAAAATTGCAGAGTATTTTGGAATTTTTACTCTTTAAAATCACATATAAAGAACACGACATTCCAAGTCTGTCAACGTTCCGCAATATTTCAAAGGAGCAGTGTTCTATAATTGAGAAACAATTACTTCCGTGTGTACTCTGAGAAATTCCTAGCCATCATTAGTCAATGGCAAAGACTTTCGAAAATAAAGTCGAGGGCAATTTCAATACACTATTAATAGTATGTCCCAAAGAAATCATGTTCGGATTACGTAACACGTCGTTGTGATTTTCGCATATTTCAAAAGACGAGGGACAAAGCTTCTAAGATTGCCTTAAAGATAATTTTTTCGAATTTCATTCCTTTTGGAAAGCTTGATCCAGAGAGAAAAAAAAACTAACCTCGGTTCGCCATCAGGGCCCGTTGACCCGCGATCTTTCCAGAGATCATACATAGTCATCGAACTGCCTGCAGGGTCGGCGATCTTTAAATAGAGTACAATACAGCTTTGAAAGTAATGATTATAATGATGATAATGATAGTAATAACAATTATAATAATCATTAGAATGAACTTAAAGATGATGATAATCTTAAGAATTATATTAATAATATTGTTAATAATAATACACCTTTTCACTAATGCTGTGAATCATTCAGTTGTGAATACACACTCACCGTGGACACCTTCAGAGAACATTTTAAAGGGATTGGATAATTACTTTGCCTCAGATTCTTTATAATAATCCTGTATTTAGCTCATGCTGCAATCATAATTATAAACCATTAGGTCATACATGAACCCCATGACTTTTACATTAACAAAGGTATGACTCGTGACTTGAGTTGGTTTTGATATCGACTCTTGATGAAGCACTGTAATAATTATATGCCATGAATCATGCGATTTCTTTACTTTTTACATGATGGTTGGAGGGAATGTATGAGGGGGAAATACGGTAACTGCAGTTCAAAAGCAGCTAACAAACAGGTCTGCATTATAGAAATTGAATCTTTAACCAAAGTCAAATAAATTTTAGTAATTCGTCGCTGTTTTCACGAAGTGACGGTAGTGAAAAAAAATTGCATTCACTTTGCGTTACGATTTTCCTCACTACCGTCACTTCGTGAAAACAAGTATTCATTGCTTTATCGAGGGCCGTTATGGATTGATGTAAGTTTGTTTGGAGTCTTTGGACGTAACGCTGTAAATATGGGCCCCGTCTTACAAAGAGTTGATATCAATCGCAACTATGTCCATAAGAGATAGGAGACTGCAAACCTGCGATTGATCGGAGGACTTGCGATTGATTTGGACCAATCGCAACTATTTGTAAGACGTGGCCCTGCATTAATATACAAATAATACACAGCAGTGAGGGCATTAGTAAGAATTACCCACACAAGGTACCTTTGGAATTATAGTCTAACACGCCCGAGGCGACAGCTGAGGGTGTTTGGACTGTTTTGAAGGTACCAAGTGTGGGTAATTTTATTAATGCCCGAACAAAATGCTGTGTAATATTTGTTTTATAAGATTATGTTTATGTTGTTATATAAAATTATGTTTTATAACATGATTTTACTAATGACCGGTCATTATAATTGGATAATGACCGGTCATTATCCAAATTACGCGTCAGGCAAAATAAATGCCTGGTCACGTGTACGCTTTCGACCAATCACTTGATTAGGTTCCACGTCATCATCTTATAACATGTGCTCACCTTCTTTGTTGCTTCATAAATAAGTCTATTCAGATTCGGCGTTGCTGATATAGAAGGAACATATGTACCTGAAGATAAAGACAAATAATTCCAAGATGAACCAAATGAGTGTGATGAATCTGTTTTGCGACTGGATATGACAATAACTAGGCAAAGGGATATTTTGAAGGTCACACGATTTTGAGTGACACGATTTTGTTTAATTGTAAAACCATCAAATTTTATTGCTACTATTGTATTTAAAGATTGGTCGATCAAATTTGAAACATAGTTGGAAAATTATTCATCCGCCAATGGCCTTAATCGTATGTTATGAAATAACAGATACAACAGCTTTGGCAACTCTCTCGGCAACATGTTATATAAAACGCAAAAAATTAAAAATCCAACGCATGTAGTTACATTCATCTCATTAATTCCTAATGTTTCCAAAGTAATGCGCCTGGTTTCTTACTTATAAACTGTTTTTAAATTGCCTTGGACACGCTATATGATGATTATTATTCTTTATGTCCGTCATGTTCACTTGTGACAGAATTTTAATAGGTAATGTAGTACTGTGTGACCTAATGAAAAACTGTTGGCTTACAGTGCATGAATCTTCTCGTCTTTATTTTGTATGTTTATCATCTTCATATGCCAACAACACAGGGACTCAAATAAAGTGATACAAAATACACACGCACATAACATTTAACATTGGCATCCGCATGACTTTGTTTTAAATGGATTGTACTTACCATCCATGGAAACATCCAGGTTGAGATATGCAACGGCTCGTATACCCAGATTTTTAGCGAATTCCTGAAGAAGAAAAAACACAAGTGATAAAAATCAATGCAGTTCTGATTGTTGCACTCATTTCAATTGTATATTTGACCTTCCAATATTCGAAACTGCCAAACTATCTAGAATTGTAAAGGACAGAAAGTAAAAAGAAGCAAGAAGAAACTAACTATATAGGACAAGTAATTATTTCTTAGGTATGGCTCAGAAATGAAGTTGAATCTCGTGCATCACATTTATCTAAATCGGCAACGTCAATTTATTTGTTAGTGGTTAATCCAGGGTTCTTACCTCAACCCATTCTGTAGATCCAATAAGACCTTGCTCCTCGGCACCCCAGCTGCAGAACATGATACTACGACGTGGTTTCCAACCTGTCAACAAATTCATTCGAAAAATACTTTATGTAAATGATCTCTTTTTAGATCTCATCATGACTGACGAGTAATTTGTATGGATAATACCCTTGTCTTTGGTATTGATAGGGTTAAATAGTAATCGATAATATAACATTATGGCTCTCTTGCTTTGCATCTATTGAACAAGAAACTAATACCTGGGGTGTGTTTCACAAAGATACTAAGTAGAACTTAATCTTAAGTTGGCTTAGAAATTATGGAGGGCCATTTGTAGCCTTAAAATAAAATATATTCATAAGCAGAAATTCAAGGATTTTTAGACTTTTCATGAATGATTTGAATCAACATCTAATGCTTTTTTAAATAACTTTTACAAAATATTTTCAAAGGATCTCTGTGAAACACCCCCAGGATCAGTAGCGTAGTACTACGCAGGATTTTTTACCGAGAGGGGGTTAAATTTGAAAATCGCGCCGAAGAGCACATATTTCTTTTCTTCTCGAAAATTGGAAAATTATGCAAACCGATATTTCGTTCAGTGGGGGGGGGGGGGGGGGGGGGGAGGGGGGGGTAAGGTCACTTAAAAAAAAAAACCTTTAGCACATTTAAAAAAAAAATTAAACAAAAATGGAGAGGGGGGGGGGGTTTCCTGCAAAACAACACATTAACAAAATTGGGGGAGGGGGGGTTCACCCCACACCCCACCCCCACCCCCCTGCGTACGCGCCTGACCTAGACCTACAGGCGATTTGTTTCACAACAAAAGCATAGCACAATAGCCTATATAGATGGCGATTCCAAAGTAAAGGCTGCTAATGTTTGACAACAAAGGACGTGAATTTTGATTTGAAACCAGATTGATCATCATGACCAAAATATAAACACATTGTACACTATATATTAGGCCTTATTAGGGGGTAGTTTTGAAAACATGTAAAACATTCAACAAACGAAGAATTGCTCTTACGGGTAAAGCTTCCTCAAAGAAAAATAAACTAAAGTCATCTACAGTTGAGTATCCTGAATGAATGAAAAACTTGAGTGTCTCTGATTGAAGGCTTACTTCGAATCATCGAGTCCTCGCATCGGGTCGGGTGTTCGCGTTACCCAACCTTCGTGAAAACCCTACGGCAAAAAATAAACTAAAGTCATCTACAGTTGAGTATCCTGAATGAATGAAAAACTTGAGTGTCTCTGATTGAAGGCTTACTTCGAATCATCGAGTCCTCGCATCGGGTCGGGTGTTCGCGTTACCCAACCTTCGTGAAAACCCTACGGCAAATCTACGCAAAAATCGCGCCCTTAACGTGCATCTTCACATGATTTTCCGCTTTCATTTTACGAAAAGCCGTGTAACGCGACCACCCGACCGAACGCGATGACCCAACGATTCGAAGTAAGCCGTTCTACCCCTGTTAATCATTTTTTTTATACGCCCCTGCTGCATGTAAAATGTCTAAGAATCCGCCTCTCTATCATTCTAAGGGTAGATAAATGGTTATTTGTTTTACCTTTCTCCACCATTACGCTCATAGCCCTGCTGAGCTCGAGCATGGCCGCTGTACCACTGCCTGCATCAATGGCGCCGAACCCCCAGGCATCACGATGATTACCAATCAGGACGTATCGATCTGTAAAACCAGATAATGGCATTTTGGTTTTCATCAGTTAGCAATAGGGACTTTTAGATTTAGATAGGGACACGGAAAACGTGGACTGCCCTTTTAAGGCAATGTGACATCCTTTTAAGGTACTGGCAGTGACGTCAAATTGCCTTAAAAGGGCAGTCCGCGTTCTCGTCGTGCAGAATCTAAAAGTCCCTAATCACACCCTTTTCGAACCAAGATACGAAATTAAACAACGACCACAACAATGAACAAACACATAGTATGCACCGTTAGTGAAGATTTAAAAAGAAATTAATTGAATTTCACCATTCTTTTGAAATCCGAATGGCAGATAAACGAAAACCCCGTGCCAAGAAATATTACTTTTTAATTAAGACTAGTGGATAATAAGCCTATTATAATAAAGGAACAGTGGAATGAATTAAACGCTGTACATCGTTATGCTTTGGTTTTTTCTTCTTCAATTTGGCTTTAAAACATCTTGAATACATGTGCATGCTTTACAACAACTATGCCAAGATTTGTGAATAATTTTGTTAGCGATATTATTTTGATATACGGCGTTTTCATCACCAAGACATTCTATTTTCGCTTGGTAACGACATGTTTTATCACCTCATTATCTGACACCTATATGGCCCCAATAATTGTTGGGACTATTAGTCCATGCCACCGCGTAAAATCATAACAAAAGGTTTATGTTATTCTGTCACCATGGCTACCCCATGTGGCATTGCCAATTTGAAACTATCCTCATACCTCATATCCTCATACATGTCGTCATACCTGGTTCAACACTTCCTCTGAGTACTCCAATCACGTCCCATCCAGTTGCCATCTCGTTTTTGGTGTAAATACTCATTTCCACCTGCCTAAAAATATCAAGTTTGGACACAAATCAAAAATTTGATAAAATATTTCTCGAGTTATATTGTCGGGGGAGGGGGGGGGGGGGGGATATCGTACTGTTTTTAAATAATAATAATAATAATAATAATTCAGTTCTTTTATAGCGCATGATACGTTATGAAATAACGTCTCTATGCGCTTCCAAAAAGCTTTGGACTTTATTACCCTAGCTTTAGCTCCGGCAGCCTTATCAGCGCACAGTGCATTTCAAGGAATAATCCTACCAGGTACCCATTTACCTCACCTGGGTTGAGTGTGGCAAAGGTAGATCAATGTCTTGCCATAGTAGTGCCACGGCGGGACTCGAACCGCGGACCTTGCGATCGACAGTCCGGTGACGTATCCTCTCGACCACAACACCTCTACAGTGTTTATAGGGACATTGAATAATTGGAATTTAGGGCCCTAACTGCTTATGCTAATGACATTGTAAGTCATCAATATTAATTTACAACTAAATGACTTATAGTAGGAGACCAGCCTGTAGGTCCCGTGACCAATCTCTGGGAACAAAGGTTTGAAAGTGTTTTTGTGTTCCCTGATGAATACCGAACAATTTTGACTTGGGCTGCCCCCTTGAAAATCCAAGGCATTTTCGTGAGGGGTCAACAAAGGTCACACAGGAATAAAAATTCAAATAGTTCCAATCGTGTCAATATGCATATCAAATTACTCGTCTGGTCATGAGGATTCCAAAAATGTATAGTTTGCTATGCTTCCGATCTCAAATGAGGGCGCTATGGTCAAAAACGTTGAAAGGTCAACACACTTTTGACTGGTGGTCAAATTCACTAACACAGTCAACCTTATCAAATTGCATATCAAATTACTCGTCAGGTCATAAGGATTCCAAAAATGTATAGTTTGTTATACCTCCGACCTTAAATGAGGGCGCTATGGTCAAAAAGTTCAATGCACTTTAGAAATTCACCAACAAAGTTAACATCGTCCGATTTTAATGATTTTCGTGTCTAATAATATGTTTTCTGACATAAAAAGTTCATCTAAGCAACTTTTAAAATCAAAAGTGGTTGCCATAACCTTGAAATTTCCCCCAAACCCATAGATAAGAAGTTGTTAGATGTTTGTCACCGAAACGGCAGCCATTTTGAATGTACATGGTCAAGGTAAGCACTTTTACTTTTGAAAGTTGTATAGTTGAATTTGCCATGTCAGAAAACATATTATTAGACCCTAAAAGCATTAGAATCGGACAATGTTAACTGTGTTGGTGAATTTCTAAAGTGCATTGACCTTTTTGACCATAGCGCCTTCATTTAAGGTTGGAGGTATAACAAACTATACATTTTTGGAATCCTTATGACCTGACGAGTAATTTGATATGCAATTTGATAAGGTTGACTGTGTTAGTGAATTTGACCACCAGTCAAAAGTGTGTTGACCTTTCAACGTTTTTTACCATAGCGCCCTCATTTGAGATCGGAGGCATAGCAAACTATACATTTTTGGAATCCTCATGACCAGACGAGTAATTTGATATGCATATTGACACGATTGAAACTATTTGAATTTTTATTCCTGTGTGACCTTTGTTGACCCCTCACGAAAATGCCTTGGATTTTTAAGGGGGCAGCCCAAGTCAAAATTGTTCGGTATTCATCAGGGAACACAAAAACACTTTCAAACCTTTGTTCCCAGAGATTGGTCACGGGACCTACAGGCTGGTCTCCTACTATTATCTCATTTCCTTTGGTTTCTCACTGCTTAATCGTAAGAGAAATCCTCATGAATCACATTTTTAAAACGTTTTCGAGTAAGCAAGGTTGTGTTACGCAGTGTAAGATGTTTGCTTGTGACCTTCAATAGATGTATGAAACATCTTTTCTACTTACATATCTGCAAATTCACCAGCAAATCCCGGTCCATATTTGTACGTCAAATCTAGACTTCCCGCCCAAGAATCATCAACCGTTTCACCAGCCATTTTCCTGTGAGGAGAAAAAGACACGAATTTTGAACACCATCTAGGGACTATTATTTTACTAGGTTTGTTTTCACCAGTGATCGTGTGAATTTCCCCTAAAGTTGTCATATATTTTTTTAATAAATAATTTAAGTAAATATTGACCTAATCCTACCACGAAAGCAGTAACATTTATAAAACCATCAATACTCATCAACGATGTGCTTAATAGCGCGTTAAAAGTCTTTCTTTACTTTTATGTTTGATTTTGCTATTTATATTGAACAGTTTCATGTTTTTATTTATAGAGAAAGAGAAAAAAATTTATTCCGACTGTTATAATTAAGTGGAATAATGTATGAGATAAAAAAGATCATCTCTTTTGTCATCTTAAAGCAAATAGAGCTATTAGCAAGGAGAAAGGGAACATACTTGAACATTCAAAACAATATGAACATGGCGGACAAAGAAAGAGGACAAACTATACAGTTCCTCATTCTACCCTCAACAATTGCTGTGGTAGACAAAGGGACATCCCTTCACTGCTAATATGTAAAATGTGTAGAACAGGTGAATATGCATGTGACACCTGTTCTACACATTTTTACATAATATCAGTGAAGGGATGTCCCTTTGCCTACCACAGCAATTGTTGAGGGTAGAATGAGGAACTGTACATTTTGTCCTCTTTTTTTGTCCGTCATGTTTATAGTGCGGGGCACCTAGTTTGTAGCTGCCCCATTCAAAACAATACTTACTCAAGCAATATTTTGGCATCATTGTAACCAATAGGATGAATCGGGATAGTTGGAAGCATAGTAGACTCATTTACAGGCAAACGGTAAGCACTCTCTGTTGGAAAAAAGACAAGTCAAACGAAATTGATGATAAATAGCATGTGATTGTCGATATGGGAAATGATCTTTAAAGAGGTCCACGGAATGGAAAGTAATAACATGGAAGGGTGTATTTGACTTATGATATGACCGCATGTACAGGTCATGTTCAACTGCTTCACCATTCATTCACTTTGGGTTTGGTTTGAATGATCACTGCCGGGTCTACAGCGAACCGTGTTCGTTGAATATCTTGGGGAACCTTGTCAGCAGTTTCAATGATTTCAATGTTTCATCTCAAATTTACTTGTTTTTGCGCTATTTATTAGGATCTAATCCAACTTGCATTCATAAATCGTTGCAATGTATGGAAGGCTCAGATAAGCTACTTGGTGGTTAAAACGTTCTATCAAAACACATTCCAGCCTCTATCATACTTTGTTTTGCTGTTTTGTTTGGGGGGGGGGGGGGTAGGAGGGGGCGGGAAAATGCCTCCCTAACTACCGCACTCACACCTACCCACACATCCGCACACACGTCCAAATCTACCGCAAACCCACGCACGTACACGCACACTCACCCACACATGCTCAACGGTACCACACAAACACAATAAGATAAGAAAGTGAACCTACCGACTGCGGGGTAGTTTCGAGTGAGGGGGTCGCCGTTGCCATCGAGACAACTACCCCTCTGGGTCCCAGTGCCTGGTAGGTACAACCCATTGGGGTAGGTCTCCCCTCCTTCGACTGCATAATCTTTGGGGTCGGAGTACAGGATCAGACCCGCAGCACCAAACTGTGCAGCGAATTTGGCCTGGAATTGAATTATTGAAGATGGTAATCACGATGTTAATATTATTATACAAGTCATGTCTAATCATAATGATGTTTACTACACTAATAGTACCGGTAGTTATAGATATTTTATACTGCTGTCCACGATGCTATCCACAAAAATAACCACTCATATATGATATAACAGTAAAATGATCGCAGCGACTTTCAAAAAAATCAACCAAAGAAAATTTCAAAAGTACTGTTTTTAACCATTTGTAATGTGCGAACATTATGAACATTACAATGACGTATTATGTAATTCGAAGATGATTTCCATGGGACATACAATGTATTGAAATTGAGTCTTTTCATAATAATGGTTAATTACCTAATATCTTCAGGGTGCTCTTGCAATGTGGTAACGAGAAGAAGAAATATTGTTTACAGAATCAGTCCAAACGTTATCTCATTTATCTGTCCTAGTTTACAGGAAGGATTAGACTACCCTGCAAGGTCACTGGACAGGGGGTTATCTCACCAACTCAGCTCTCAATTAACATAAGAAAAAGAGGATCATGGGGGACCAATGGTCACCGATTACGCATTCGTTTTTATATAGAGGGAGCAAGTAGCTACAAGTAGGACAGTGTGGCTTTAAAATAGATAAAATATGCACGACGGTTTTTGGTTGAAGATGTGTAGTATAGGCTAAGTAATGCGAAAGGAAAAATGTCAAGAAATTTCAATCAGCGAGTTGTTCCGACCAATAAATTGTACAGTGGTGGTAATAGTAGACTTTTGGATAATTTGTTTATGGCACAAGGCTAATCTGCCAAAAGGTCCATTAATTGAATAACACACGGTCTCTTAATCAGCAAACAAGTAGTGCTTTTTGGTTGTTGCAGTGAATGTTTTGCTGGTCCAGCAATACATCAGCCGCATATTTATTAACAACTATTTTAAGACAGTTATTTTTACTCTGCGACCTTATGCAACAATCTGACTTAAGACACAGGTCTACGAATAGAAGTAACATGTATTATGAATGACCAAAAACACGACAACAACAACAACAACAATACAACAGACATATTTAAAATCGAAATATATTGTTCTCGAATATGTAATAGGAAAGAATGAATAGCGCACTTAGACCGTTGTCTCCCCCGTAGCACTACAGCCCCCAAAAGTTTAAACCTTTTCTACGCCACCATACCTAAGCCCATCGCACACTACTCGATCTGACTACGATCCGATTTTGGTCGAATCTGCAATTGTAGCATTTGTTATAAACATTCAAACTTCTATGATTTTAATAATCATAAGCCATCAAATTCCAATGGATTTTAAGCTTAATTAAAGAGGGAATAGTTAAATCGGCTCAGAGTCATAGTGACGTCATACTAGCAGTTCGACTGTTGACGATGTGAATCCGATTCGGCTTTTAGTCATCATACTAGAAGGTATAAATATATTAAAATTCCATTTGTAAGTAACCTTATCATTATTTAGAACCTACATCAGGGAGATGAAGTTTGTTTACATTTCAATATCTAATATTCTATCAAAACTTATCGTGTTATTTCTTCGCTGGAAGATCGTACGGTGCGCGATGGGCTCTATTCTCCTCTTTCTATATTCTCACCTTATCTCCTCTGTAAATCTTGCCATATCTTGCAATAGCAATCTTACCGGTAAGATTGATGGGTGAAGCGAGGCCTTCCAGAGCTTCAAAGTCCGCAAGTTCAGCGTAGTTTACATAAACAAGATCGCCCTAAAATCGAAAAAATATGATTCTGTGCCAAAATGATAATATATTAAATCCAGTATACCCTAAGAATCTGAATGTTCATCCATGTCAACTAAACTGACCTTATCTCGAAGACACATTATTATGGTTGATTTCTTTATTACATACCTTCCCGCGGTTTTTTTTACAAATCAAATTTGGATTGATTCAGGTTAAATCAAAATTGAACAAATGTTCTCCCTATTCAATGTGGCATTCGGCCCATATTACTGAATATATTACCAACAAGAAATCCCTCATGATTAAGAATACCAAGTTACAAAAATTGTTTCGTTTCTTCTTGTTCGTTCGATTTTTTGAAAACTTTCTCTTGCATGATTTTCAGATTTTTAAAAACTTCTAACCAGGGCAACTTTTTCGATTGAATTTTAATCGTTTGAATGACTCTATAGTTCATTTAATTGAGTTTATTATAATTACTATTCTTCTTCTTCTCCGTTTTCTACTTCTTTTTCCTCTTCTTCTACTCCGTCTTTTCATTATTATTATTGTTATTACTATTAGTAGCATCATTATCATCATGGTTGATATCATTATTATGATAACTATCAATATTATTACAATTACCATTATCATTCTTATTACTATATCATTATTATTTCAATCTGGTGGTGGTAAATGCTCCTACTTAATATCCCGGTAAAAATGAGAGAAAAATCATACCAAGAGAATACCGGAGGCGGAGTAGGCGTTGAAAGGAGGAAGAATAAGATCTTCCTTCTCCCTAGATAGGTCGTCTAAAGGTTCCTCTTTCAACTGACTCTGGAAGTAGACGTCACTTCCGTTCAATATCCGGATCTGGGATGGAAAGTGTCACGAAAGTTTGAAAATGTGACCATGCAATTTATAAGAATTAAAAGAGCACAAAGAATGAAGAGGATGGAGAAATATAACTTGAAAACAAGATGGCGACGATGCGTTAAAGGTACTATGTCCCTTTTGCAGCCAACCTCAAATGCTGTAGAACTTTGCAGGAATTATGAATATGTCATGTATGTCCTATCTGTGAAATTTAAACGTTAGCGGTATCCTCATATTTAAATTATGCAAGGAAAACCGTTTACTTGCTAGACTTCACTGTCAGACACTATTGAGTGACTGACTGGCTTTTTTTCTTCTTTGGTAATAACATACATGAAAAGAGTTGTAAAGGGTACATGAGTATTTGTCTACATCAATAACCCACTTCTTGTGATGGCCAATATTAAACTGATTGAATCTTTGCGCAGCATAAAACGTATGACCATTCGGTACAATTGTCTGAAAATCAAGACTATTACTTTTGGGCTCTATAGCCCTAAAGTCGATTTGACAACTAATAGTCGTTATTTCCCTCTTGAAGACATTTTCAAGCCCCACCTTTTTTAGGGAAGTTCTAAATTAGTATTATCTTTCAAATGCAGTAGGAATTTAACTTTTAATTTTTTTGGCAGCAAATGGGACATAGTCCCTTTAACAGTATTGAATACTGACAAAATACGGAAAGTTGGAGAGAGAGAAAGATAGAGAGGGAGAGAGAGAGAGAGAGAGAGAGAGAGAAAGAGAGGGGGAGAGAGAGATGGGGGGGGGGGGTTCATGAGTGAACAACAATTGAGAAAGTATATCATGAGAGAAAGAATAATTAAGAATTAATTTAATATAACCTACAGTAACACAACAATTTTGAAAATCCGAAAACTATCAGAAAGTTTTTGTTAAAATAAACTCCTCTCCATTATCTAAAGAACACCACGATTGATACTACAAAGTAAAAGATGTGTATCCTGTCTTCTTGTAGACTTCTACAATACCTCCATCTCACTTCTGTAACCAAGTTAAAATGAAAACGATCGGAATAATATAACATAACGCTTCGAAAATCGGTATTTAAGGATATAATATTAGATGGGAGAGGAATATAATATATGAGATATGAGAGAGAAGGATGGAATTGGTTTGAATGATATGAGAAAGAGATGGGGATAGAGGACGTACCGCATTATCTTCTCCTTCCACCTCTGATGGGAAAGAGAGCAAGACGTCGTAAGCATATATCTTAGCATCGAATCCATAGTTGGTCCAATTCGTCTGGATATCGTCGGCCAGCTTCTTGTTCTCCTTCGTACCGGCAACATGCGGGTCTCTGGTCAGATCCCTGTGGGAGAAAATAATGATTGTCAACTGCTAAAGTGGCGTAGCCTCCAGTGGGAGGGGGAGAGGGGGCACGTGCCCTAAGTCAAATCGTGAATAGTTGAACAGATAAAAAGAAAATAGAGGGGACAGAAGACGCCACGACTCCTTCCCCACCATCCCACACCTAGCCACACTTTCGTCGTCCCGTCTGACGCCATCGTGTGTACACGCAACTACTAAATTGATTAATTTCTGGAGTCCTCGACCACTCGTGGGTGTTGGAGCATGGACACGCATGCACTGCTCGACTGTGTGTTTTCTTATGCATAATAAGCTTATAATTCCAAGCACTGCATGTGTTAATGTTTTTTTATTTAAAAAAATGTTTCTTTCTTTCTTCCTTTCTTAATTACTTCTTAAAGCCCCACTGTACTACTTGTAGCTACTTGCTCCCTCTATATAGAAAACAATGCCTAATCGGTGACCATTGGTTCCCAAAGATCCTCTTTTTCTTATGTTAATTGAGAGCTGAGTTGATGAGATAGCCACCTGTCAGTGACCATCCTGGGTGGTCTAATCTCTCCTAGCCAAACTAGTACAGACAGCCTTTAAATAATCCACACTAATACAAGCACTGGTTTTTAGTTGATGTCTCGATTTCTTTAAAAATACGACTCTATTAAAACAAAATATCATGAGTTTCTTACTTATCGGCATTTGATACAAATAAGTTTCATTTTAATGTTTTATTATAAATGTAATTTGATATTCATTTTATGTAAGCATTCTTTAATTTTTTTGATTGAGTTTTGGAAATATAATTATTTGAATTGAAATTGAAATTGATTTATGGGAGCTGATGATGTGCACTTTAATTATCCACTGAGTAAGGCAGGTCCACCATAATGCTGGTGCCCAAAATAGGTCTAGACCAAGGCAAGCGACTTATGCTCAAATATGATATCACACCGATTTAAATAACTATTATAATATTGCACTGATTAAAATCATTCTTATGATATTAAGCCGATGTCAATGAGACTGACAAGGAGCTTAAATTACGAATATTTTGTAATACCTTGCACGTGGCAAATTTCAAAGAAAGCAAAAATATTTGAAAAGTATCCCCTTATAAAGTGCTACATTTAAAGCATCATTAAGCTTGAGGCTTTGAAATATTGATTGAGATGACATTAAAAATATAAAATATCTTTAGCTCTTGTTTTAAAGTCATATTATTAACTTCAGGTCAGACTGAAAATCACCATAAAATAAATTGGTTAAATTAGTCCATTAAATTATGAGGTGATAAACTTATCAAACTCTTTATCCCGTAACAATTAATGAATTCTCTAGTTAATGATGCATAAACAAAACTAACATTATCATGATATTTGATTGCTAGCTTATTTTCGTAACAACAATTTATCCTTCATTTCCCTTGTTTTAAAGAACTCAAGTCATTGGTACGGAAAAGTCATTGGTACGGAAAAGTCATTGGTACGGAAAAGTCATTGGTACGGAAAAGTCATTTGTAAGGAAAAATCATTGGTACGGAAAAGTCATTGGTACGGAAAAGTCATTGGTACGGAAAAGTCATTGGTACGGAAAAGTCATTGGTACGGAATGCAGGGATTGATACCGTGAAGAGCTACAAGAGGCAATGGACTATATAAGTAAAAGCAGGCTAAATATTTAAAGAGTTTTCTATTTTATTTTAAAGCGCAAAATACAAACCATAACACATCCGTGGCGAACTGCACGTTCATTTCAATCATCAGGTCACTCGAGATACCTTCGTCGGCCTCCCTTCGGGCATTCTCGTATGAATCCGTCACTCGGTCGGGACCCGAGTACCAGCCGATCAGCACGCCGGCTCCGATGCCCACAGCAATCGCTGCACTCACAGCTACTACTAATATCACCCTCTCGTTTCCCATCCTAGACTAGGGTTGCTAGATGATGATGAGCGAAAACTAAAGGAGAACAAAAGAGAAACAAAACGCAATTATACTGAGTACCAATAGGTTATTTCAGTCGTATTTTAAGACAAATCGACGAAATGAGCGTTTTAGATAAACACGATCACAAAATGTCAGAATTATCTTCATTCAACGAAGATAATTCTGACATTAATTCTGACATTTTGGGGTCGCGTATATCTAAAGCGCCCATGTCGAGTGAAGAGCGTATACGGTGGAAGGACAATAGTCAGAAATGAAAGAAAAGGTCACTAAAGATCTATACTTCCATTAATTCAGTTAGCTAGGTCAAAATAATACTAAACAAATGGAAAACACAGACTTCTGTCGTACTTCCCTTTTAATAATCGACTTTAGACTGAATTGAACTGAAGGGGGTGGGAATGGAATCGGTAAGAGCAACAGCGAAATGGAGCAAGAGAGAGGGAGAGAAAGAGAGAGTAAGGGTGCTATAGATATAAAGAGAGAGAGAGAGAGAGAGAGAGAGAGAGAGAAGTAGAGAAATAAAAAAAAGATGGAGGGAGAGAGAAAAATAAAATATATAGAGACAAAGGGGGGACAAGACACAGGAAGAAAAATAATTGGGAGCCAAGTTTGCTGCCATAGCCACCTGCACCTGTCTGTCTCGACTATGACCTCAGTCACACTGCCAAGCTGACCCCATACGATCCCCAACCCGACCGATTCTTGGCCATGGAAGGCATAGTGTAACTATCGTGCTCGGTTTCGTCAGTATGACCGGGGGATAACCAAACAATGGAGTTTTGTATCGGATATAATGGGAGTATTTTAGAAGAACCGCTAAACAGATCATTCTTAACTTAATCCAGTTAAGCAGGTTTGGTAAATATGCTTTTAACAGTCAAACTGGCGCCCCTTTCTTTTTTTTTTTTGGAAAGGAAATGGCGCCTATCGTGACCTTGATCCAATATTTGCTTAATGATTTAGCGCTATATAGGCCCTATATATTTGAATATGAAGAACTTTCTAGCTTTTATCAATTCACACTGTCCTGTATACCTTCTGTGATACAAGACTTTTCGTTAGCTTTATTTTTTCTCTCCCTTTTGAATGATTTTAAATTGTGCTTATAAGGCATTAGCGACATTATAGATATTAGTTTGCATCATGCAAAACAGAAGAACACCAAGAGAAACTGATGGGTCATAAGTCTAGAAGCTAAGCACGTGTTCGTTGACAGATTATGCCCAGCCAACAATCTCGAAGGAAGGAGCGCTATTCATATTGATAATCTGTCCACAAACTTATCAGACCTGTTGGACGCTATTCGCATTCGAACATATCAGCAACCAGAGGGCTTTCAACGATTGTGAGAGGGGGCGGCGGGCGAATTTTTTTTCCGTACTCGAGAGGGCAAATACCCCATGTGCGCATGCGCGTGGACTTGTGATTTCTCTGCTACTTCCCATACGAAATGTACATGTATTCCATATAATAGAGATATATACTACTAAGTATATATCTCTATGATGTATTCGCATCTACTGTGCACGATTCGCGTTCTACGAGTAAACGATGGCATAGTAGTCTTCAAACACAGACTCTGATTTGCCAGTTTGACAAAACAATTACGCATATATCGTGCGTAGCAATAGTACTAGTATTCAAGTCTGAGTAGTTGTATGATTCAGACATTTTAGTGCTTACAGAAATGCATCCCAAATTGAATAGCATGGTATAGTAGTCTGCAAGCACAGACGCTAATCGGACAGTTTGACAACATAGTGTCTTGAGTAGTGCTTTATATTCAAATATGTGTAGTTTTATGATTCAAACTGTCAGATTAGCGTCTGTGCTTGCAGACTACTATACCATTCTATACAAGTTGGCGACTTTATTAAAGTACTTCTCAGCACACTACTAGTATGTTGTCAAACTGTCAGATTAGCGTCTGTGCTTGCAGACTACTATACCATTCTATACAAGTTGCAATGTATTTCCATATGCACTACTGGGTCTGAATCATACAACTACACAGACTTGAATAAGCACATCGCGACACATACGCATATTGATTTGTCAAACTGGCAAATCAGAGTCTGTGTTTGAAGACTACTATGCCATCGTTTACTCGTAGAACGCGAATCGTGCACAGTACATGCGAATACATGTACATTTCGTATGGGAAGTAGCAGAGAAATCATAAGTCCACGCGCATGCGCACATGGGATTTTTGCTCTCTCGAGTACGGAAAAAAAAATCGCGGGCGGCGGAGGGGATGGGGAGGGGGAGGGGGAGGGGTAGGGGGGGGGGGGTGCTTCCAAGATTGTCTCCATGCTCTCCCTGAGATGGGGGCATGGGAGAAGTGTAATTGTAACACAATATTTTCATCTCTCCGGAATACGAAAGAACAAACCAACATTGGCTTCTTATAGCTGGGCCCCTCTTTCAAAGCAAAATTTGAATTATTTTGGGTCGGTGCTATTTCGTTATACAAATATTTACAATCTATTAACACGAACAAGGTTAATATCAAAAGGCATTTAGTGTCCATACTTTTGTTTCATCATACATGTACTTCAAAAAAATATACCCAACTTTGTTCCCTTTTCAATTTCCCTTGAGGGCCTGAACGCTCTCAGTTGATTAAGGCATGTCATATTGCTAGGCAGCTGCAAGATTATATGATACGAAACTGTAATTAATATGTTATTGTAGAAGAAGGAGTAAATTAATAAAGTTGTCACGATGACAAATTGCGAGTATAAAAGTATGCCGCTGTTGTAAAGCATGTACTTGAACTTTCTCCCGTGATGCCCGATCCAGGACTCACGTCCCTTTTCCAATTTTATGGGCCCTAATATTCCCTGGTGGATTAATGAGGGGGGGGGGGCGTAACCGGCCCTTAAAACTCCGATGTCATACCCTAAATACACAAAAGAAAATGTTGAATTTCAGATCCAATAAATATGCCTTGTCAGAATGGATTTTCTTGTTTAAAGATTAAATGTGCGCCTATAATTTTGATTACCCTCACCATTTCTAGCCTGAGTGTATGGTTAGATAATAATGTATGTTGTAATGCATGTAGAATGTATGGCATGCGTTCATAAATAACGAATATAATTTTAGTCCAGGGTGATATATATTATGTAGGCCAGTGATTTATGGAGCGCTAGGCGTCAACCTCTTATTCTCTTGAAAATAACCACATTCTCTATCTGAAATAACAAACATAGTCATGTCATCATGTAATAATGTCTTGTTTCTATTTCATGGATTGAATCATTTTGTTTTCAAGTTAGTACAAGTTGACACAGCCAAAGTTTTGATCTTTGTTTCTCTTTTACATACATGAATAATATTACTTTATCCTGATGAAAGTTGTCAGATGTATATTAAATGAAATACATAAATACATCATAAAGAGCTTCACACCCGGCGCTCTATAAATCTATCGGCTAAATGAGACCTATTTCTTTTTATTAATATGTATTTCACCTTAATGAATACGAGATCAATTTTGTAAAAATGATCTGAGTATCTTTAAAAGCAGAAACGTTAAAAGTAGGAGTTTGAGAGATAGGTATACGTATCACGTACTTGACCTCGTATACTCTACAGACACCAACGCCCGTTACCGTGTCGAGTGCCAAAGTAAATAATACTGATAACCCCCGCCTAACTTGTAGGACAGATCATTTACACAAGAACATATTGTGCACACATACTGTGGAGTAAATTAAGTTTACTTGAGTAATACTCAACACAACACACGTCAGGTCAAATATAATAAATAAAGGGATTTGAATTCCTTTTTCTGTAAATTATAAGAATATTAGTAAGTATAAGTAGTAATAGTAATCTTAGTCGTATAGTCTTAGTAGTATTATAGTAGTATTAGTATTAGTATTAGTATTATTATTATTATTATTTTTAGTAGTAGTAGTAGTAGTAGTAGTAGTAGTAGTAGTAGTAGTAGTAGTAGTAGTAGTTCTGGTAGTAGAAGTAGCCTAGTAGTAGTAGTAGCACCAGTGGTGCTAGTGTTAATGGTTCATTAAAAAATGTTATTATTAGTGATAGTATAGCAGCTGTAGTAGTATAGTAGCAGCAGTAGTAGTAGTAGTAGTATTAGTATTAGTAGTAGTAGTAGTAGTAGTAGTAGTAGTAGTAGTAGTAGTAGTAGTAGTAATAGTAAAAGTAGTTGTAGCAATAGTAGTAGGAGTAGCAATAATAATAATTGTAGTAGTAGTAGTTGTAGTCGTAGTATAGTAGTAGAAGTAATAATAGTAGAAGTAGTAGTACTAGTAATCATTATAATAGTGAGCATAGTGGTAGTAATAGTAGTAATGCTACTAACAGATGTAGTAGTAGTAGTAGTACGGCTTTTCATAGAATATTAAATATTGTATCTTGATCATTTCTTTCGCACGCATATCATATTCTATCTTAAAATAGGTTTGAAAGAGAAACAAATTCAATCAATAATTTACCGAGGGAGTAATTGTCTAATTTCACTGAACGCAATATTGAATATGACGTTGATTATTATACAATTAATGAATAACTACTGGAAGTAATTCAGTGCCAAATGATAATCAATATCCTGAAGTGGGCCACGATTATATGGGAGGTTCCCTACACCCCTCCCTTCTTCACGAACAAGTTTGCTTTGCATTCTATGTTTGCCTTTAGGTCACGTGGTGATGATAGTGTTTAATGAAAAATATCGCTAATCTTTGAGCCTTCCTGTATCAAGCACTAATGGTGTAGGCACTTGGAATTATAGATAAAGATATTTGCAGCTTAAGATTGATAATGCCCTTTTAACGAGAGGTGACTGACTCTTCACACGTTTAAAGGTCGGATGTAATTACATCAGTTTTAAGAATATTCTAAGTATTGGCTGACTGATACTTAGACTGAATACTTTTGTTTGTTTGTTTGTTTTATTTCCGAAAATCATCATAAAAACAATAACACAATATAAAAAATCAAAGACTTGTATAACAATAATTGAAAGATAAAACGGCTGGATAGTCCATTTCACAGACATTGGCCTAATGGCTCTGTTCTTCCATGGAGTCCTTTAATTTAATGCTAGAATGATATGACACGCGGAAAGCAGGAATTATGGGTTTAGGGGGCTCAAGGGAGCTTTTAGCGCTTCCTTCCCATTTATTAACCAAACGGATGGACGCCCCTGCGTGGACCGCTCCCCCAACCCAACCCCCGAGCCCCATTTCCTGAAATCTTTCCGCAGTGTCTGCCGTTGTATGTCTGTCATTTCCGATGACCTTAATGTGAGGTTATGGGTTTGGCTGCGAAAAAAAGAATAATTGGCGTGAGAAAATGAACGAATGTTGCTTTCTATAGTTCAGCGCAGTTCATTTCCCTGCCAGCAGTGATTTTGTCACATCACGTCACATCAACCATTCACTACAATGTAGAGTCCATTTAAGCAGGCACGTAGCCAGAGTTTGATGTTTTTTTTTTTTTGGGGGGGGGGGGGCACATACATGTAATCGATCAAGGTAAAAAAAAGGGGTCTAAAAAACTTCAACCGATCTTGGAATTTTGGGGGGCACGTGCCCCCCCCCCCGTGTCTACGTGCCTGCATTTAAGATGAAAGGTAAAGAGAAGAAACTGTCAGAATTGCTCTGCTCGTCAAAGGAGCATGATTTCAAAATATATTTTCACATGCATATGCGCACAATGTTTTAAGCAGGAATACAAAGGTTCTCGCATTGTATCATTTGCTAAACACGAGAACCGTGAAGGATTCTTGAAATGACAAGAAATCCGGATTTCCCAGGCCATGAATATAAAAGTGTTGATCTTTCAAAGTGTCGGGCTGCCACAACCCCACCCCTCTCCCCACTTAGCCTATGTATACTCCTGATTGGCTTGCATGTGGTTGATACAGGGGCATCCAAAGCGAAGGTTAACAAAAATGGGGAAATGGAAAAAGAAGAAGAAGGAGAACAAGAAGAAGAAGAAGAAGATGGAGAAGACACTAATCAACCCTAATCCTATAAATTAAACATCTTTCGCGATATAATAAAGCACGGTGCAATTAATTGTCGCAGTAGCATTACTATTTCGGAGCGACGAAAAGAAGTGGCATTCGTGTATAGGTCATGGTGACCTGTGTTTTGATATCAGTGTAATTCAAATTACGAGGCCAGATGTGAATAATCTCTACTTTTCATTTTCAGGTCGGAAACGATTGTTGTCGTAGAACTACGATGAAACTGAAAGAGCACACTAGTACAATACAAATTCGAGGCCAAATATAATGGAAAATATAGTTTGTGGCTTTTTCATGAATCTATTCAATATAGAAAATTTATCTTCAATCGTTTTGCTAGGAGATCTGCAACCATACGAGAATTTCGAAATTTAGAGAAAAACAAACAAATAAACAACAAACCAATTTTGCTTACGCTAGGTCAGACAAGGCCAACAAATCTTCTGAATTGAATAACGAGCCCCTAAAAATTGTTTCTTGCGATTATCGAAGAAATTTGATAGATAAAAGCCTACGTGGGTTAAACAAGTAAATATTGCTGTTTCGTTTTGCCTGTTCATGTAGATAAAGCTAGGAAAATAGAATTGGCGATTGCGTTTAATAGTCAAAGTTTCTAGGTTGAAATCACATACTATGACTATTTCACAACGCTCTATCTGTCAATGAAGTGCAGGTTGGCAGTCCATAGAACTTCCAGTGACTACTTCTGCCTTCATCCAAATAAACTGCATTCATTTTCTTCACACCGCTGGATATATTTAGTTCACACAATGGGATGTATAGCCCTTTGAAGATTACTAAAACAAGTGGGGACGTCACCCCCCCCCCCGATAAGTGGGCCGATAAGCTACGCCCATGCCCATATGAACCTGGTCGCCCGTTATATCGACTTGAAAAGGGAAGAGTATGATGTAAACAGAGCTAAAATTTGATATTTTTCACAATTGCCAAAGAAAATAGTATTTGAGAGAAGAAAAAAAATTAACAACGGGCAGAACTTACATCATATTTTAGAAAAAACCAGTGACCATCATTAAACTATAAGAATTAGTTATCCGGTGAGTATATATATAGATTAGACTCAAATTATATTTTTGCATTAAAACTATCAGTGAACCTCTTTAAAAAGAAGCGATAAAATTACAAGACAGTATTCGAAATATAAAGTTCTTGAAGAATGAATACGTACCGTACTTGATTGTAAAACTACAACAACAGATCTGCAACTAAAACATTTAACAAATCCCTGACTTACCTTCTGCTGTAGTCGTGTATGAAACGTTCTTCGTGCTCCGTGTAAAATCTCCGGACGAATGAATTTCGATGTCAACCTACAAATTTATACCTGCAGGTGTATACGAAGCGAGTTTGAGAAACAAATTGTGTGTTTGTCGTGCGTTGATCTTGTACTTTGAGCGGCAGCAGAGAAAGGGATGGGGCGGGGTCGATTGGAAGATTTTTTTTATTACACTTCGTTGAGTCCAAAGGTGAACTCTAGTGAGCATTAAAGGTAACTAATTCCTCAAGCAAAGTGCCACTATTACGTGAATAACATCAGTAAAGATTCTATAAAGAACTGTGCCACCTGCTCAAGAATTAAAAATAGTCATGATCACGATGATAGTCATAACAAGTTATTTCTCAAAACATATCTTTTGGGGCCATGACGAAATATGCAACAAGAGATAACCATTTCAAAATGGTAAATTAAATAATGATGAATAAAAAGAAAAGGGTTAAATGCGTCTGAACCGTTAGGAAGAACAGGGCCAAAAATAATGTTAATGGGTCTGAATAAAGCAATCCAGCCGTATGTGTTTGATAATTAAAATTTATATTAATTTACTTATGTTCACATACTTATGAGCTATGTGTTTATTAAGTATGCATATATTTATATACGGAAAATAAACTAACTAGCACTCAGAAAACAAAGAAATACAAAGAAATATGAATAATACCCCCCCCCTCCTTTTTTAGGCCTAATATTTCCTTTATTCATTTTCTTCCAAGTAAAAAGTAATAAATATGAAATCATGCTCAATAAAAGCCTCTGTTGTCATTACTCCCCCCTCGAAAAGGGGCCTTCATTTCATGTACATTTTTTTTCATGAACAGTTTTATTAAGACTAATATGATTGGTGGGACCGGGCTTTTTAGTGCCTTCCCGAATTGCATTCCACCATTGTTATGGACTATACATATATTAATTTGGGTCAAAAGGATAGATTACGCCAAGCCTCTCGTTTCTTCCTCTGTTGTTTTACATGCGATAATGTTCCATATTCACATCCAGATAAAAGGGACATATACATTCTCATAATATGATTATGTAACATATAAAATAGCATATATAGCATTTTGAATTGGTATATTGTATTTTCTTTGCATACCTGGTGGATTCTCAATGAATACTTTGTAACTTATATCGATAAATACACATATACATATATACATATTAAATAAATATTTGTTGTACTTATGTATTGAAGACGATTTATAATTGTGGATTCCGTTTCAATAAATTTAAAACTGAACTTGAATTTATAATTACTCACCTCGTCATCGGGGGAGGGGGGGGGGGGGGTACTTAGATTTGGTTCGGCCGGGAGTGCGCCCCTGAGGCCTTCAAACCCATATCCAAGATGGATGAATATTCCCGCCCATCTTGTCAAAAAGATAAATGATTTCATTTTTTTTTGCAACTGGGATTTGCAATTTAGCGAGAATATGGGTGAGATATTATTGTTCTGAAGAAAATAATAACCCATGTTGAAGGTCAAAGTCTTAAAGAGGGGCCAATTTTAAGGATTTTCAATGAAAAATCATACCCAAAGTTGAGGTGTTGTTTGGGGGCGCCCCCGACCCATTAAAGCAACACATCATCGCATTCCATAAAGGGCGAGTACCCCTCCCCCTCCTGAGGTCGTAATCAGATCAGCACTGTTGATCTATTGATATTATTATGTGACGTCATTGGTCTTGATAAGAAAATCCTATTAAGATCCAGATTGAGATAAAGTGGAAAACATATTCCGATAAGCATAACACCTTGCACGCTTGATCGAATATATATTTTATTAACCATTTTGTAAACCTCAACAGAAAACAAAACAAATATCATGTATCCATATTTAATTGAAACAGAACTTTTAAGAATGCAAAGTTTGGTAAATTGATACAGAACTTGTATCCCCGTTTTTAGAAAGAAGTGTATCTACAATATTCTTGATTTAAATTCCTGAACTGCATGACTTTACCCAGCCCATTAAAGATAAGTTTAAGTCGAAGTGAATATTAATGGGCTTATCATATTTTTTCTGAAGAAACTTCCTCAACCTATTTTGCACGTCACCAAGTATATATATATAAAAGAACAGTTTGAGAAAATAAACAAAATATATCCACAGGCAGTCTTTCCCTTTCGGATGAACTTCAGTAGAGTTACAGGAGCATATCCAAAATTGACAAACGGGGGAGAGGGGGAGAGGGGTCATGGATCTCGGCTTCCCTACCCGCATACCTACGTAGACATTCCGAATCGCTATGTTCGATAGAGTTCACAATGTGAGTTCAAATGGAGAGGAGGGGTGGCGTAGGGGAGGGGGGGGGGGGGGGGGGAGGAGGTACACGATGCCTGGACGCCATGATGGTTTTCAAACCAGACAGAGTTCGTTATCCTATACTCTGAAACGGTCGATCTTTTCCCGAAAAATCAACTCAAAGGCTAGTAGCCTAAGACCCATAGGAATCACGGTCAGATTGCTGGTAACTTCTTGGTCAGATTACGAAATACGTTACTGTCATGTTTGTACATATTTGGTGACGTATATACAAGGCCAGTATTGGAATTGCCTAAGTGAATTTTTCCCTAATTAGTTATGATCGTGTCTTTTTAATTTGTTTTAAAACTAAAACTTCCTTATAGTCATGCATACATAATATCTTCATGATTTTAACCTGACTATAATCATGTGCACATGATTTCTTTGGTAAACCTCGAACTTCAGACTTCAAACGTATTCACAAACTCACGTACTTACAAACTCACACGTTAATGACCAGGGCGTGATATACTAATTATAGCGATAAAATCATCTATCCATTTAGATAAAAGATTATCAAATCATTTAATTTTTAACTGGCTGACGTGCTTATCGCGATTTAGATTAAATTTATCTTTAATCAGTATTTATGTAATCGTATTCCGCTTGCTCATAATAATTTAAAGACTATAATTCCTCCCCTTAGGAGCCTATATTTTGGAGCTAGCTTCCTCCTTGTTCCACTTTTATTTGAGCATGATTAGTTCAGTCTTTTCAATAATTAATACTGCATGCAAAATAATTGATAGGACATAATGACCTTCCGCTTAAGTCTCTGATAATATCATTCACGCTTTGCTTATCATGTGTTTTTGTGAACAACAATTTCCAATATGAAAATGTAAAATATTAAATTAAAAAAATGAAACTGAATCTAAACTTTATATTCATATTTTACATCCATTTGAATCGGGACATGAGGCTACGCCATTAGAAAAATAAACAACCTTTCCTAGTATTAATTAACCCATTAAATTTCTGGTGTGTAATTACGCCGCTACTTAAAATGAAAAGAAACGCAGGTTGTTCCACATATCTATCAGTCATAATGAATGTAATGTTATAAAATGGAACATTGTTTTTTTTTTATATCTTCATGACAATTAGCAATGTGATCATATTTGTTTGATTCCGTTCCAATGATACAATAGATATAATTCAATTTATTTCTTTTTACAACAAAACATCAATCATAATAATTTACGAAATTGAGGAATACATATTGGAAACTGAGGGGTCCACTAAAAAGCAATGCTTTTACAATTGTGGACCCATCAAATTATATTAAAGAATAATGAGTAATTAAATTAAATACGTGGTGGTTTATGATCAAAATTCCAAAACATGATACTATCATGTAATGAAACTGCGTTGTTGAAATTTTGCTGTAATAGCTGATAAATATAATAAGCCATATTTCTATAATACCCGTGTTTGCAGTGTTTTGTTTATGCGATAATTCTGACGTATTAGGCTAAGTTTAAGTATTGGGTACTTGTGTCAAGACTATATTTATCAATAAATATCAGTTATTTGGATTGTGTGATCCTAATAAAATGGTTAAAAGGTGAATAATGTTCTCCGCAATATAAAAATAAGCTACCATAAAGTATTTGACAGTATTGGCAGCATGACAAAATTGGATATAACTAATTCTATTAATTGTATTGCAGTGTTTACTTTGAACGTTTTGTTCTTAAAGTTGTTAGACATTGTATAATAGTATTTAATATGGCAATGTTTTTGTTCTATAATGTTTTGTCAATAAAGAAACAGAATCAGAGTAAAAGGTAGCGATTTCTATCAAGGTTTTGCAACAGTTGTATTGTGAGAATTTCTAAAATTGCTCATCTTTCTAGAATGAAATGATGATTATACTTATACAATCATCTTTTTGAGACCATAGGGTTAAATGTCATTTAATTTCGATAGGACACATGCATCCTTACATTGTTTAAAGATGGCTTATTTGATTTTCTAACCTATATTATAGTGCCCTTTTCCGCAAGCTCAACACACACAAGTCATGGTTACAATAACACTTGGGCGGAAACATTTACATGCAGTACGGCTCATCGCCTTTATAAAACTAGTGTTTAAACTCCTTTTAAATTGAAAATGAGCCAAAAGAACCTACCTACAATGATTATCCCGGGACAGAGGCGGGTACTAAAACACACAAACCTTTGGACCGGTATTTAAGTTACTTCAAAGCCCATTAAAGCTTGGATACGTTTGGTTGACAAATAAATGCTTTTGTGATCATGATGATTGTTCGTGCAGGGTTACAATATAATCTGTCTACACACCAATGCGGACGTTGTACAAAAATCAAAGAGGTTCATCCATTCGTAATTCGAAATCTTTTGTGCTTCATATGTACTTGAACACGCCCCTTATATTTAGAAAGTTTGCATTGGTTTGAGGAGCTGAAAGGTGCATGAACAGGGATATTAAAAAAAAAAAAAAAAACAAGAAATGGGAAATGAGAGATATAGGAGACAAATGAAAGACAATAATATTCTCCTCCTCCTCCTTCTCATCACCATAATATCACCATCACTACACTTGAGACGGGATGCAACAGTAAACAGGGACAAATAAGCTAAGCTTCCAGTCTCTACACCCACGTATACCCAAGTAAGTAAGTATCATCGTCGTCATCATCATCATCATCAGAAGGAGAAGAAAAAGGAGAAGAAGAAAAGAAGAAGGAGGAGAAGAAGAAGAAGTAGAAGGAGGAGGAGGAGGAGAAGAAGGAGGAGAAGAAGAAGAAGAAGAAGAAGAAGAAGAAGAAGAAGAAGAAGAAGAAGAAGGAGAAGAATAGAAGACAAGCATACAAGTATACACGAATGCTTGAAAAAGAAGAAGAGAGGAACAAGAAAAAGAACTTAATAAAATGAAATAAAAATACTTCAATTGACAAGAGTGAGGGAGAGATAAAGAAAATGTTGAGTGACAAAGGGGAGATAAAAAAAAGTAGAACAGAAGGGTGAGAGACAGGAAGAGGAAAGAGAAAGAAGGAGAAAGAAAAGTTGAACTGAGGAGCAGAGAGAGATAGAGATGGAGGGAGAGAGAGAGAGAGTGGAGGGGGAGGGGTGGGATAACAAAAAAGTGTATGAGTGGAAAGGGACACATATTAATACATGCACAACATTCAGATAGCGACATTATTTTAATTTGTTATTCCTACCCAAAGGAGGGCCCTTATCTTCTTTAGAGAACATTTATTTCAAGATCTAAAAGTCATTATGCCCTTTGCTTACTAATCGAGACAACTGATACGTAATTCAATTGTGACGCGCACAAAGTATTATTGGCCTAAAACAATACTGACTATCAGCCTCTAATTATCAGGCTGTCAATAAGATAACAGCTTACGTGTTAGGGAGTGATAAACTGGGACAGATATATACATACTTGGTCTTTTCTAGCGACAATTTTTTTAATTGATTATTTGCCAACTTAAAGGTCATACCCTGCGAAAGTTGAGGCAACGGTTTTGCTCAAATAAGTATTGTTACATTCAAATTTGAAGTAAGACGAAGATAGAACAAGAGAAAGAACTGAATAAAATGAAATATAAATACTTCAATTGACAAGAGTGAGAGAGAGAAAAGAGAAAGAAAATGTTGAGTGACAAAGGGAAGATAAGGAAAAAAGTAGAACAGAAGGGTGAGAGACAGGAAGAGGAAAGAGAAAGAAGGAGAAAGAAAAGTTGAACTGAGAAGCAGAGAGAGAGAGAGAGAGAGGGGTGGGGGCGAGAGGTGGGGTACAAATAAAAGGTGTATGAGGTTAACACATTCACAAGATTCAAGTAGCGATATTATTTTTATCTTTTATTCCTACCCGAAGGGGGGGGGGGGCCCTTATCATCTTTAGAGAACACACATTTCAAGATACGTCGTTAAATTGATAATAGTCATTGTGCCCTTTGCTTACCAATCGAGACAACTGATAATTAATTCAATTATGATGCGTACAAAGTATTATTGACCTAAAACAATATTGACTATCAGCCTCTAATTACCAGGCTGTCAATAAGATAACAGCTTAAGTGTTAGGGAGTGATAAACTGGGACAGATATGACATACTTGGTCTTTTCTATCCACAATTTTTTTCTTCAAATTGATTATTTGCCAACTTAAAGGTCATACTCTGCGTAAGTTGAGGCAGTGGTGTTGCTCAAATTGTTACATTCAAATGGACTGAATTCAAGAATCGAGTAATCAGTTGTTCTTCAGGAAAGCTTTGAAAGTATAGAAGTAGAATGCTTTGTGTGGAGCGTTGAGGTATAGTGGTTCATTCACTTGACCCTCATTCCAAATGTTGAGTGTTCGAATCCCAGCTCGTCAATAACTTTATTTAGCGAGACATTAATCCAGACTTGCCACTCTCCACCCAGGTGGGATTGTGTACCCGGCAATGATCGGGTAATAATAATTTCACGGCCCACAGGGAGAGCAGTTTTAATATTGACTTGGCTATACCCTTGGTAAAGAAGACCAAATCTGTATATTATTTATTTCATGATTCCGTATAGCATAACTATTTTCCACCCCCCCCCCCCACCACCGCAACAAAAAATGCATTGATTTGCCGTAGGGGATTCCCAATTTTGTCTATTCTATAGTTTCAAAACCGAAATTGTATCCATTATAATATAATAATTGATCAAATCAGTACAATTCACACAATTTAAGTCTAAATGGAGGACTAACCTCTTGACAAAACAATTTATAGGCAGATCCAGGGGTCAAACAAGTCCACCTACCCCCCCCCCCCCTCCATGAAGAAAGGGAAAAGGAGAAGAGTAGAGGAGTGAGGGGAATAAAAAGAAGATGAACAAGGTGAAGAGATTACAAAAAGGAGTGACTTTTGAAGAAGCTATTTGTGTTTGTAGCAGGGAGAAAGAGAAGGAGGGAGGGAGAGAGGGGGTGGGGGAGGGGGTAAACCCATTGTTTGCCCTGGGCATCATAATCTGCAGATACCCCACTCACTGGTCATATGATACATTCCTTCTATCTTTCACTCTCTATCACAACCTTAAATATTATCCTCTCTATTTTGTCCTCTCCGGTTCTCTTCATTTTCCCTCTTGTCTTGTCTTGTATTCTCTCTCTCTCTCCTTCTATATTAAAAAAAATATCTCTGACGGGGAGAGATTTAATAGGTTGTTTTCCCTTCTTGGATCCGCCTTCCTGCTGATTTGTATCTTTTCTTTAATAGGTACCCTTTTTTCACTTTTGGAATTATGAACCCTTTTTCATTTTCAGAACTGAGATCCCTCTTTCATATTTTCAATCATAAACAGGCCCTAGAATGGATTATCGTAAATTTGGAAAATTAATAAAACCTTTTTATTTTTTCATTTTTTAAAACCCCTTTGATACCAATGTGTGTAATTTCCAAGTTTAGGTGAAAAGGGTAGTGGCACAAAGTCCCGTCCAGAACTCATAATGCATAATTGTTGGAAATCGAATTGTTATCACATAGAGGTAGAAGCACATCCTTAGGATATGGAGCTGGTAATACCATGTACTATCTCGATAAGGCTTAACGCTTACCTAATCTTTCAATCAAATTTATGTCAAAAAAGACATTTTATTGCACAAACATCACCAACTATTTCACCTTCCGGACGCTTCTTTTGTGCCACTCTATTTCGCTTAGCTTTCATAGTCTACTCCCTAACAACAGGTTTGAGATCACGTTGCAATGACAAAAACAAACAAAATGAAGACAATACTTTCTTTGATGATATTAAAAATGTTCTTTTTCTTTCATTCTACACATTATACATCTACAGTTATAAAATATATTCTGCCTTCATCCTGGGGGGTGTTTCACAAAGACTACGATCCACTTTAAGTTGAACTTAACTATGGCAGGCCGTTCATGCCACTGGTTGCTTTCACTATTGGTCTCTCAATTATGATCTTTAGATAATATATTTTCCTTCAATAATGAACTATCAAAAAGGGTAAATTCTGTAAATTTGCGACCACAATTTTGTACGTCCCTCTAGAAACCAATGCCCGGAATGGATAGAGGAATTAGTGGCATGAACAGCCTGCCATAGTTAAGTCCAACTTAAAGTTGATCTTAGTCTTTGTAAAACACCCCCTTGATCTCTCTGGAAAGAATGTCATACTTTGTAATAAATGTTCATCTCTCCCAATGAACAGTTACTTTAGCAAGCTGCATGAGACAGGGAAATCTGTAAGTATCTAAGAGTGGGCAGGGGTTTCAGGATGAGGCGTAAGGGTGCGTAACAAGTCTTCTCGTAACTGAAGTTGCCCTGCAAACCCCAACAGATCGCCACACTCTCAGTTCCATGTGCTACCATTGTGTCTGCTATACAGATCTCGGACCAATGGATTCTCGCTCCACCTAACCTGGCATGTATGCAGTGTACACAGCAAGATAACTTACAGTCTTTCCCCAAATCTTTTCTCAAGAACGAAGAACCACAAAAATGGCATATCCGCAGAGGAATCTCGTGCCTGCTTTAGGTAGATTTAAACACTTCACAGCTCAGAGTAAAATAAAAATTGACAATGGATCACTCCTATCTTTCATTTGGTTGTATATCATGGTAAAAAGGTGAGTAATTTTTCCATTTCCCACCCCCTCCCCTTCTTTATCTTTCTGGCTGTCTACCTGTCTCTCTCTCTTTCTGTACATTGTCAGCAAGAATTGGTACTGTTCTCATTTGTCAACTTCCCTACCTCAGTAATTCAATGGGTGGTGGTCTCGTGGGCACTTTCCCTAACGTGAAAACAGGTGCCTCAAACTGCTCCTTCTCTTCCGGAGTCAGCGACGCCAAGGGCGTGTAAGTCCTTGACTCAGCCTTGCCTTGCTGAGGAACTGACGCAGGAGTCGTCGTTGATCCTTTGCCGAACAACCCCGCGCTGGATCCGCTGGAGCTTTGCGACCCTGATCCAAAGATGGATGACGCGCCGCTAGCACCGCTGGATGGCACTGATCCGAAGGTGGGCGTCACTGTATTTGACGTCCCACCTGCATTGCCAAAGACACCCTGGGTGCTGCCTTGAGTTCTGTTAAAGAGCGATGAGTCCTTTGCCACTGCATTGCTTGTTGTGCTTCCTGATGAAGTGGAAGGTACACCCAGGACGGAGACACTCGTTGATGACTGGATAACAACCGCTGTTCCGGTACTTGAGTTGGAACCTTGCGCCACTTTGATGTTTGCAAGGCTGTATTCAAAGGGAAGACAGGGTGCAATTAATGACTTTAATATGACAGGTTTAAAAAAAAGATAAAAATGATGGAATGTGAAAATCCCACACATTCTTTGGAGAATGATATTCAGGATTTAACTTAGTTGTGCTAGATTGCTGAAATAAATCTGTTTTTAGATTGGATTAGATTTTAAAAATATGTGCTTGGTGTGTAACAGTGATGAAGCCAAATGCGTCTATTTTAAAGAGGATTAATATATGTGTTTGTTTTTACACTAAAAATAAGTTTATATCACATAGTTTTTTGAAAATCTTGGCTACAAACCATGTCCACTTTCTTTTATTGCTGAGTGTACATGTCTATTAACGAAATAGAACATGACTTTCAACAAAAAGGACCAGATATCAAGCTATAGAAAAAAACATTCACCTGGATTCGTATTCTACCTTATCCAAAAAAGAAGAAGATAGATTGAAATGGATGAGCTATTGCTTTTTCGTACTTGCAATATCAGAATCATTACAGTTTCACACGTCAATGAGAAAAAGGAAAAGGATTGATAGTGAAGTGATACATGTGTGTGGTAGATTTAACTCCTTATATCTTACACAAACAATTCCTGTGGGCAACATTGAATTTATCATGGGATAGCTATAACATACGCTTCAAGATTATTTAACTGTTTCAAGTGGAATATTAATCTAGTAGTAGTAGTAGCTGTCTGTCGCGAAGCGACATTGACCGCCTTCATTTTCACTTTACAGCTGTTCTCCATACAGCTCGCTGGCCTGTAGCAGTTGTCCAAGTCTTGATTTCAATTTGCCTCCGCTTAAGGTTCCGCTTGATCGTGTCTTTGTAGCGAAGCCGTGGACGACCAATCCCTCTTTCGCCAGCAGAGAATATTAATCTATACCCCTGTTAAAGGGGTTGTCTTGGAGCTAATGAAGGCCAGACAGGGGTAACTTTGCAAAGTCAAAGAGTGGTGAAGTGTGACGTCATAAAAAAAAAAAAAATCAATTTTTAGAATTTCTCAATTTTTTCTTCATTTTCCAAAAGAGCATCAAAAATAATGTCCAAATGTCGAAAACCAATTGAATATGTTAAGTATTGGCTGAGAAATGACCATCTAAATAAATATATGTCCTATGGGAACTCAGTGTTATATGCTCTGGCTCCTAACCATTACGAGCCAGAGCATATAACACAGAGTTCCTATAGGAAATATATTTATTAAGATGGTCATATCTCAGCCAATACTTAACATATTCAATTGGTCTTCGACATTTGGACATTATTTTTGATGCTGTTTCGGAAAATGAAGAAAAACATGGAGAAATTCTAAAAATAGATTTTTATGATGTCACAGCTCGGTACTCTATTGCGTTGCAGAAAGCAATCTTTCCTCTGATTGGTTCCTACTATTTTGTGCAAAATGGCATGTGTGGCAAACCAAGCAGAGGGATGAAGAAAGCATACTTACTTTGCACCAAAGATGTCAGTGAGGGAAGGAACACTGTTCCCAAAGACATTGGTTGTGTTGGCTGCTGCAAATGGATTCTTGTCTGAGGCTCCTTTGTACATGTCAACCTAAAATAAATAAGAATATTTTTTCTTCAAAGAGCAGCGCTTTGTATTTCAACATACAGGAGGAGGGGGGGGGGGGGGGGGGGGGGCGGGCGCTACCAGATGTAATGTTGTGACAAATTTAACTAGAATAATAGGCTAGTATTTGTTGTCAGCAGAATGTGTTCACTGTTGGGACATAAAACTCTTCTTCTTCTTCCTCTTCTTCTTCTTCTTCTTCCTTGTTCCTATTTCCTTTGAAATATAGTTCAACTTATGTGCAGGTTTGGTCTAACGGCGCCACCAATCCACAATTGTCTAGCAATGTCTTTGATTGTCTGGTTTTTTATTTCTAGGCACCATGGTCAGTTGAATGTGGAAGAGGGCGCTATTCAAATTGTTATCATAATCTATTACATCCTGAAAACAACCTTCCTCCAGCAATCAGAGAGAGAGAGAGAGAGAGAGAGAGAGAGAGCGAGCGATATAAAGACAAAACTAGATACGGCTTAATACTTTACCAATTGATTCTTCATAGCTTGGGAAGGCTTCCTTAGCTGGTCATGTTTATTCTTCGCAGCACTCAGAGCTGTACTATATGCCACTTTCTATTGACCAAAAACGATGGATTGAAGAAGAAAAACAAATTAAATAGATGTTTCATTTGTCTACTGCAATTTCACTTTAAAAATTGGTCAACATTAGACCTATACACAAAATAAGAGAGGTTTACAACATTTGACTGTACTATTATATCAAATCAAAATTCTAATATTTTGAAGAAATGTAGGGAAGTTCTGTGTAGAATCCCTTGAAAAGAAATTCAAACATGGCATAAGTCTTCATCATCATAAAGATGCAGTTAGATTTGACTGGAATATGTACTAAATGAAAAAGTTTCACAAATCTTCAAGTCCCCCCAAAAAAGAAGAAGAAGAAAAAAAAGGGCAATACATGTAGTAACAGAATTTGGGAAGAAAAGGAGCAATTTATAATCAAGGTATTACATTTTTGACATTAATCATCAATGGAAGTACATTTTGTTAATTTTTTTCTAAGGAGATTACAAAATAAAAGTTATATCTTACATATTGTTCAAACTGCTTAGCTTTCTCTGCCATGTACGCCAAGAACCTCAACTCCTCCTGTGATAAGTCCTCTAGACCTACACAGATAACATATCAAGAAGGTCAAAGGTCAATAATCTGTGATACAAGTCACACAACATCAAAGATATATCAAAGTTCATAATCTGAATAGAAATACAGGTACAGTGTATACCCTCAATGGAAGAAAAGTTCCACAATAGTACAGACGAACCTGCTTCAGCTACCACCTGCGTACAAAGACCACAGGTTGTGTTTCCTTGAGCAGAGATTCTCATCAAAACTTGCTTAAAAGGAACCTGCACTTAAAGACCACCTGCTCAGAAAGACCAATGTTGCTGTCTCCCGTACGTGGTCTTTATATTAGGTCTTTACGTACAGGTTTTAAATTGAGACCTGCTATTGTGTAGAGAGTCTAACAATGTTCATATGTGACTAGGTAAACTCCCTTAAAGGGATCGCGTACCATTGTCTTACATTCTGAAGCAAAATCCTGGATTTAGCTCATGCTGCAATGGTAATTATAAACCTTTAGGTCAGTCAGGAACCCGTGACTTTTCCAAGCCAATCGCCTGTCTGATTATCAAGATATTTATGATTGGAAATCGAAACCAAATTTTGCATTTTCCTAACGGTTTACATAACACTATAGTCAGTCAGGGAAAACGAGTATGGTAAAACCGGTCACTCAGGGATTTTACCTTTTTGAGGGACTTCTTGATCATTTTGAATCGCAAATTTTTGAGGGCTTCAATATTACACCATTTCACAGACACTGATAACACGTAGGGCAGTGTATCTCAGATTTAACATTGTTAAACGATCCCTTTAAATGGCCACCATGGCAAAACGTATCAAGCAACTGACCTGACAAGCAAGACTTTGATTTGTTTGGTCCGTAACAGCTGAAAGGCCACATCTTCCCCTTCTCCCATTCCTCCATGTCGTACAGGATACCTTCCCTAAGAATGGACGAAGAAGCAAAACAAGAGGGAAGTACAAATAAAAATAATTGTAGCTTGGGGCATTTTAATTTGGCAGTAATACTATTAATAACATAAAAATTGAGATTTGTAAGGTGCCAAATCCACTTGAAATCAAATGCTTTAGGTGCACATGTGCACACACAAAAAAAAAAAATCACACAAAACATACATGTATCTGCATTATAAACAAAGAAACAGGAGTGAGGCAAAACATACGCAAATGAAAGAGAATAATTAATCAATGCCGAATTAAACAAATATGTTATAAGTTTACAGACTGTATGATTCATTTTCATGAATGACTTGGAGAGAATGTTGAGTTCTTGTACAAGTAAGGGAAAAAATAGTTAACTTTTTCCTTGTACATCCATTATGGAGGAGTAAACCCTAGATAGGAAAAGAGTGCCCTTATAATGCCCTCACATGCCAAATATATGATAAGAAAAAGATGAAAACATTTAGACCAAATCTTGATAGCAAGTGAGAGTGTGCGGGTGGTTGGACAGTACACCCACATCTTATTGAGTCAATCTATAATCAATCAACAAGTCACAATTAGTCTGTACTACACAATCAGTATTTTCCGATAGTTTCATTTGCAATTCAATGGCATGACCCAAACTCAAGTTTTTGTTTAAAAAAAAGATTGAGTGAATGAAGAAGAGGATGAAATAGTCTGCATGTAAAGCATAGTCTTACATGATCTCCTGCGCAGAGACGTCTTGTGAACTGCCACCATGGGGTTGATTGCTTCTACTGTCTCTTGCTCCTTGGTCGGCGAGGGCGCCAAACTTATTTCCCTGGAGCGAGCCCGCAAAGGAATCCTTGAAAGCCACTTGTTTCCCTCCTTGATTTGAACCACCTCCACCCCACGATCCCCCTCCCCCTCCCCCTCCTCCTCCACCTCCTCGATAGCCTCCTTGACTCTGGTTTCCTCTGTTCCCCCAGTCTCCATCTCCTCCTCCTCGTCCTGAGTACTGGTCCCTGGAGCCTTGGCCCCTCTGGCTCTGCTGCCCATGGCCTGGCTGGGAACCGTAATTAGAGCTGCTCCATTTGTACTGTGACTGGGAGCCGCCGCCGCCTCCTCCTCCTCCTCCACCACCACCTCCGCCGTAACTTCCTTGTCCTTGGCTGCTGAAACCTTCAAAGAAAACACATTTAAAGAGGTTGAGTTCTTGTAGTTAAAGAAGATGAAAAATAATTTGTGAGCTTTCAGACTTCCTAGTGACTGGGAACCACAACTTTATGATAACATATTAACAGTCATCATTTAAAAAATGTTAATTGTATGTCAGCTCTTTGATCACCAGGAACATGTGGAAGGTAAGCAAATCGCTATCGGTTCACTCCGTGTTCAAATTCTCACATCTTGGTGTTTTTTTATAACACCAATTTCACTATTCCACTAACGAACTCCAGAGGTAACTTTTGCTAGGTTTTCGCATTGACCGCTATGCTTCGCTGGAGTGGGTCGTGAGTTCGGCGGGTGTGGGAATTAAACTTCAGAGAAAACACACATTTGAATTTGTTTAGACCGTCACCTAGACTGCTAGAGAGGTTGGCGCTAGTGTAGTTCCATATCCATTTTTTACAGCAGTTTAATATCCATTCTAAATAAGAGAATTTTAGCCCAATTTTTTACTAACTTTAATCATAGTCATATATTTCATCTTCCACCTGAATTTGGATCACATCCGACATTGGGAAACCTCTGTTTAGGGCTTCAATGTCGACGCTCGATCAGTACCGTCTCTACGCTGTAGCTCTGCACCTAAAACTGAAGCTATCAGTCCAAAATTATGCAAACTTCTTGTATGCTTTATGGTATTACGCACATGCACAATACCATAAACTATACGAGAAGTTTGCATATGAGTGTTATTTAGCGCATTATACGGAAGCAGCACATTTACAAAGTGCCAGTCAGAGGTCATCACCATTGTGTGGAGATCGTGAATTCACATGGTACACGTGAAATGGGAGCTAAGCTGTATCGGTCTGGTAAGAAAATTGCTTTTATCCTATCATTTTTACCTCTTATTATGATATTCTGGGTGTAAATACGATCACAAGTCCCATACAATTTATCAAAGCCACTGTCCAATATTATTGGTCGGGTGCGGGAAAGTGTGATTTTGGACACATTTTTTATGTTGTTTACCTACCTCTCCATGGGACCCTATGGGAGCAAATTAAGGCTCCCGCGAATAATATCATAACAAACATTTCGAGGGAGCCCTTAAGTTAAGGCTACCCCTCGCTCGACTGCGACGACCACGCTAGAGGCTTGACTATGCCGCGATTCACAAACACCACTCTGAGCACACGGGACTGTATTGACAAGTCAATGCAGCAATTCATACATCGTAAGTTACTGCCATAATTGAAATACAGAGAAGAAAACATACCAGATTGATTTCTAGGATGTTCATATCGACATCTATCACCGAAACGGCAGTTTCCTTGCTGGAAATAACGACAAGTAGGCATCGTTAGCGTTATGTCTTTTCGAAATTCGCTTTTTATTTTGAATCTAGAAACCTTGAATTTTCAAGAAAATATATGGTGGCATTAAACGAGCAAATAATAAAAGAAAATACACTCTATAATGGGAGGATGAACCATAATATAAGATTCAAGATTCATGATTCAAGATTTATTTATTTCTTTCCACTTGCATAACAAAACATTTCATTCAGGAACAGTAGCAACAAGTTCATAGTCAATTAGCATAAATGTATTAACAATGAAACAGTTATAAAGACTTTAACAAATGTGGAAAAGAGATATTTAAGTTTTTATAGTTTTAAGTCTTTATTTGTTCCAAATTTTACAGAAAATAGACATACATATAAAATAAAAAACTTAACAATACAATTGTAGTATAAATGAGCACATCTCAATGATTTTCAATTCATAATAGATTCAGCAAGATGTGAGGAACCTATTGAAAAGCAATGCTTATTAAGTTCCTGAAAAAAAGTAATGCGGATGAAAAACAGTAGCATTAGAGAAAGACGTAATTTAGAGAAAAATTTAAAACACAATGAAATAAGGACATTTTTATCCAAAAATAATGCATTAGCACCAATACCCAGAGTCACCGGTTAAAATGCGTAGTCACCCGAGCGATTCAGTAAGCATCTATAGCACAAAGTAATTTGTTATATACATTAAAATTCTATACCCATATTCAAGGGTGTCGATTTGTATCTGTGGTTGGGGGGGATGATAGGTGCCAAAATATTTTCGGCAATGGATCAAAGCAACCAAGAGGTAGAAGCGTGTGGCGCTATAGGGGGTTGGGTGCAGGTAGGGGGGGGGGGGGGGAGGTTCCCTCCTCGCCCGCGAAGCGCAGAAGCTTTGAGGTTCCATTAAATTATTAGAGAAAGAAGACGATTCGTTGGACCGTGCTAGCTCGACTCTTAATCCCAATTTTTTTAATCAAGTTCCCCTTCCTCCGCGCGTAGCGCGAAAGCTCTGACGTTTCATTAAATTATTAAAGAAAGAAGACGATTCGATGTACCATTCTCGACTCTTAATCCTTGTTTGAATCAAGTTTCCCTTCTTCCGCGCGTAGCGCGGAAGCTCTGACGTTTCATTAGATTATTAAAGAAAGAAGATGATTCGATATACCATTCTCGACGCTTAATTCTTAATGTTTGAAACAAGTTTCCCTTCTTCCGCGCGTAGCGCGGAAGCTTTGATGTTTCATTAAATTATTAGGGAAAGAAGACGATTCTTTGTATTGTGTCCTTGTATGAGCGCAATTCCCCCGCCCTCCCGCGCAAAGCGCGGAAGCTTTGGCGTTTTAATAAATTATTACTCTTAATCCTTGTCTGTATTCATTTTCACCCATCCAGCGCTAAGCGCGGAAGCTTTACCGTTTCATTAAATTATAAGCGAAGGAAGACGATTCGTTGTATCGTGTCCTTGTCTGAATTCAGTTTTTCCCTCCCGTGCGAAGCGCGGAAGCTTTGACGTTTCATTTAATTTTAACTCTTAATCCTAGTCTGAATTCAGTTGCCCCCTCCCACGCAAAGCGCGGAAGCTTTGCCGTTTCACTAAATTATTAGAGAAAGAAGACGATTCGTTATACTGTTCTCTATATTAATCGTTGTTTGAATTCAGTTTCCCCACATGATGTACATATGGAACGTTTGTTCGCAAATCTGGGTAGTGGGTAGCATGTTATCTCCCGGCAGTGCTTGTCGCAATAGCTTCTGGAAAGGAATTCTACTGTTAGTGTTAATGACCACTAATTATAGGCCCATTAGTGACTATACAAAATATATGCTCTTCCTGGCTATTTGGGAATGTGTCAGTTTGCAACAGAAATGGAGAAACTCGAATTTTGTTGAAAATCATGTGATATCACGAACATTTATAAATCACTTGTATGAAATTGAAAATTAGTCATGGTTGGATTTTATTTTATTTTTTTTGAGGGGGGGGGGGGGCGCTAGCACCCCCCAAGCCGCCCCCACCAGTACGCTAGTGACATAGGCCTACATCAGCTTTTCAATCAAACAAAAATAAGTTGTGACATAATAATCTTTCTTCAAATGGAAAATATTTTAGGAAATAGCAGGAAACAAAATGAGTGAAAAAACAAACAAATAAAGGTACAATGACGTGAATTTTTAAAAGGGTGGAGGGAAACAACATAACACTAGTGAACTATCTTATAAGTCATACTAATGTCTGAAAATCTTTCTCCTTGTCTCCGATCTCATCACGAATTTGTCACAGAGTTCATATCGTCCAGGATTTTCTGATGTGCATTGCAGATTGCTACTTTTGAGCTTCGCGTTTAACATTTAGCTCGTTGCTTTTTAACGTTGCGTCTTTGCATTTGGCGCACTGCATTTCTATGATGCTGTTGATTGAACAAATTGAATAAATTCATCAATTCCTGATGAAGCCGTATGAGCGAGAATTCAATTTATTCTTATCTCATATACGGTTATCTCATTTACTTCGTATATATATATATATATATATATGTATGTATTTTGAAAATGAGATAGCAAAATGTGTATATTGATGGTCATCTTGCGAGTAATAACCATTAACTACTCTCATCGGGTTCTCATCATTAATTTTTCTCTTATTTTTTTTTTGAGGGTGAATTATGGGGGGGGGGATGATTGTACAGGCCATCCCCCCACCTGAAATATTGAGAGATATATCCCCCCATCCCCCCCCCCCCCCCCCCCCCCCGGGATCGACACCCATGCCCATATTGAAGATTAAGTGAGAGGATCATTCCCCACAAAAACAAATATTGTCCAAATTGTACCTCTTTTGATCAAGATCAAAATGTACCGCTTTCCCCGACTCCTGAGCCAGACTCTGTTGCTCATTTTCAATTCATATTATCATTTAGGAAAATAATAATACCCTTTCACTAAGGTCTACATATAAGCTTTGCTTTTCTTGTATGCGCATTCTTTCACATTACTTTTAGTCGATGGGCAGCGCCATCTCATGTCATTTATTGGGTAGACTATGGCTGGCAAAAAAGAGAAGAAATCCCCAAGCAAAGATCTTTCTACACATTCACTTATGCAGCGAGTTCCTTTTTTTATATTCGAACATTTTATGAAAATATGCCATGTTTATAACAATATAAGGCTTTTCCCACTTAACTAAACTTACTATACGTGTTTACTTCAACATTGTTAAATCCTCGAAGGGATGGGTAATCCGTCACGTCAGGCACTCGCTGACTCAAAATGTAATTTGATATATTATATTGTGCCTTCTCATGCTTATTTCCTTTCTTACGCACATTTCTCTTTCCTCATCTTCTTCTCAACCCCACATGCAGCTCATCATTTTGGAATTGTTTTCTGTACCCCCGATCTCTCACTTCTTTTTGTCATTGTCTACTCTTTGTATAATGACCGTGCTCTTCTATCTTTGTCGTGTAAAGCTTTGTCTTGTCCCTTTCTCGTCTCTGTTGGCATCCCCCTTTTTCTTTCCCCTATTTTGTAGTTCCTTGTGTAGTTACGGATTACTCATTATTGCTAGGTATTATTGGAGGTGTTCACACTTGTACAAGCATTGCTTTTTAGTGGACCCCTCTGTTTCCAACATGTATTTCTTATATTTGTTTCAAATGCTTATAATTGATTTGTAATGTTTTGTTGGAAAATGAATAAATTGAAATTGAAATTAAAATTGAAATAGTCGGAAGTATATTCTCTAATTTTCAGACCATATTCAGGCTCCAAATGTATTAAATCAATAATTTAAAAAAATGCTTTAACTAAAACATTGAATAAAACTTTCATATAGCATCGTATTTTCTCTGAAAATAATAAAAGGGTGTATTTTTTTTTTATAAACTATCAATGAAAATGGCCGGGGTACCCTTTTTTCAAAAACAAAAAATGATTCACAGGTCGTGAAATGAAATACTCACAATAACTGTACTTTACAAGTAATTCTGTGAGATAATCTACACAAATTTTGAAGTTTTTTTTTTAATTCCTAATTTATTTGAATAATTTTTCTTAAAATATATATATTTTTAATCAGGTGGAATTGCGACTAAGCTTAGCTATCTCTAAATTGGCTAATCTTCTCGCCAATATAATCTTTTTCACGAGATTTCTAGCCAGTAAGCTCTTCGGGAAATGGTTTAAGAAAATCAGAGACATCTTTGTATAGTATAAATTTATGACTGTCTTGTCGTTGGTTTCGAGAAACGGGCCCCTGCGGACAGCGGTCCGCATCCTGACCCGGGGCATGTCAATCCGGACCATAATGCGTCCATGCAGCGATGAAGTTGAGTTTAAACATGGACCTAGGTAGGTGCAGGGAATTGGAGACCGCATGGAATTGGAGACCACCAAGCTTGAACCCATCACTGTCTGTCCGTGTTGGCTTCAATATTGCTATAGAGCCATCATTCTGTGGCCTTTATTAACACTACTGCATATATCCAATTCATTTGGAAGACTAAAATTAATGCGTTCTTTCTCCGAGAAAATTGGCAAAGTTGACCAAGGTAAGCAATTTTGATCGTAAATGCTCTGATATAAAAACACAATTTTCACTGAATGTTGTGATGTATGCAGATATTTAGAGGTGGCTCTTACCAAGTAGTTTTAAAAGGAAGTTTATGAAGTGTGCCAGCCCTCACAGAAAACTTATGGCCATTGTGTGTTGTGAATGGGTGTTGCAATGCACATTATGAATGGTGTCTGATCAGAAATGTGAGCAGGCAATGGGGGACACCAGGTCCAAGATGGGGGTCGTTTGTTGTGAATGTCAAGTATGCTGGTTGGTTAATTGTCCATAAATATGTTGGGCCACATTTGATTTATTTATTTCTGTTTGATTTTCTTTTTCTTTTGCCCTATTACAAATATATAACAAACAAAACATTGCAAATTTTACACATTTCAAAAGAATATAATGTCGAATAAAGTAACTAATCGAAAACATCAAACAGGAGGGAAGACAAAGTAAGCAAAGCTTGATAGCATGACTACCCTCAATGGATACATAATAATACGAATATGGTGGAACAGATATTGGTAA